TGGGGAGAGATTAGAAACGTATTGTAAAATGGGTTGTGTGTTTCATTAAATAATTTGGTTTAGTTTGTGAGCAGGTGCTACTGCGTTTAGGTGACACTATTACTACTGAGTATTTCATAAAGACAAAATCCAGATGAAAAATGAATGAAGACTGTGTTGGAATTTTCTTGTGGGGGTTAAGGGGATCCCTCGCATAAGTGTTGAGCTATTTTTTATCCATTGTATATTTTGTATTATTTCTCTGTATTTGGATAGCACCTGATCTAGACAATATTATTATTATTATTATTATTATTATTATTATTATTGCCATTTATATAGCGCCAACAGATTCCGTAGTGCTTTACAATATTTTGAGAGGGGGGATGTAACAATAAATAGGACAATTACAAGAAAAGTTACAGGAACAATAGGTTGAAGAGGACCCTGCTCAAACGAGCTTACAGACTATAGGAGGTGGGGTATTAGAAACATTAGGACAGGAAATATCAAGTAGGAGTGAAGCAGAGCTGGAGGAGAGAGCAAAGCACTGTCCCGTAGGAGAGAGCAGGACACAGGTATGTAAGGTAGAGATTACTCTGGGAGGCCATAATCTTTCCTGAAGAGATGGGTTTTAAGGCCCTTCTTAAATGATTGAAGACTAGGGGAGAGTCTGATGGCAGTAGGCAAGCTATTCCATAGGAGAGGAGCCGCCCGCGAGAGGTCCTGCAAGCGCGAGTTGGCCGTACGGGTGCGAGCAGCGGTCAGGAGGTGGTCACGGGCAGAGCGTAGGGTACGAGGAGGGGCATATCTATGGATTAGTGAAGAGGTATAAGAGGGGCTAGAATTGTTCAGTGCTTTAAATGTATGGGTTAGCACTTTGAATTGACTCCTATAGCATACAGGGAGCCAATGTAAGGACTGGCAGAGGGGTGAGGTGTGAGAGGACCGACTAGGGAGGAAAATCTGTCTAGCTGCAGCATTCACTACAGACTGTAGCGGGGCAATACGGCTTTTGGGGAGACCAATCAGGAGAGGGTTACAGTAATCCATGCGGGAAATTACTAGAGCATGGACAAGCTCCTTGGTAGCATCTTGCGTAAGAAAGGGGCGGATGCGGGCTATGTTTTTGAGTTGGAACCTACAGGACTTGGCAACAAACTGGATGTGAGACTCAAAGGTGAGACCAGAGTCAAGTATGACGCCAAGACAGCGTGCTTGCAGGGATGGACTTATGTGGGTATCACTGAGTTGAAGGGAGAGCGAGAGAGGAGGATCAGTATTAGGAGGAGGAAAGACAAGGGGTTCAGTTTTAGAGAGGTTATAATATAATACATTACATTTTATCATGTACCATTGCCTCATATGAGGGGCCTGGCAACAAGTTCAAGAAATCAGTGATCTGTAGGATGCCCATTCATACAAGCAGGCAGGAGGAGGGCAGAATGTATTAATTTTGTTGGACGTATTCCGGTGTGTGACACAATGAGCAATGGATAGCAAGTATATTCGCATGTAATATCAAAAGACCAATAGATGGCTGTTTCAGAATCCGGTACACTGCCAGTAATATGCTGTGGTTACTTATCTGTAGTGAACTCATGCTTCCTTACAAGAAATAATGGTATAAATCATTCATGTTCATTAGCCACAGAATGCAATACCCAAAATATATTCAACAAAATTTAAATTTCATGTCCAGTTGTAACAACATATAAGTACTAATTGACACTGATTTGTATGGTGTCACGATTATCAGTATCTTTCCAAATAACGGCTTATTAATGGAGGACAATAAGCGGTACAGTGCAATGTTGACTGCAGTACTTGCGGTTGACCACTATTGAACGCTGAGAGGTCGCAGAAGATTCCCAGTGGTAGAAATCTGTAATAATGTCTTTAGCCACCAGGGGGAACACTCCTGACCCTGTCTAGGCCCATTCCACCGCTGCACTGTTCCATGCGCTACAGGAATTCTGCTCTGTATGAAACACAGTGGGTTTGCACAAATAGGCAGCTCACTCTAGAACGAACACAGTGGGTTTGAACAGGAATGAGCTTGCTTCGGAACACAGTGTGTTTGCACAGGAAGTTTGGAACCTGTGGCTGGAGGTGTGTGCTAGGACATTAACCCTATATGTCAGTAAGCCAGAAGAATAAACAATATTGCGTTAATGTGTAGACCATGTTTGTCACCAACAATTCCTTCCTGTACTTAACACTCTAATTGCTATGGTGCATCTGTATTTTGCCGATCTCCAGTATTCAGTCTATCGCTGCATGTTTTCTGAACGCATCATGCAGTTCATTATTTATCCATTCATACATTTGTAAATTGTATAACAGGATACTGCGGTTCCGATTTGTTGCTCTATGTGTGCTTGTGTGTGTGTCCAAGTGTGTATCTGTGTGTTGTAAGTGCGTGTGATGCTAAATGTATTTTCAGGATACACTTCTCCATTCCTGTATCTCTTTCATGTTTCACACGTGTTTGTCTCCCCCTTCTGTCCCTTAATTTTGTCCCCCACACCCATCTTGTTCCCCACTTGCGTCTCTAATCCCCCTCCAGTTCCCCACTTTTGTTTGCACCCCTTCTGTCTGCTATACTATTCCTGTTTTCCATTTGTGTCTGCACCCCATCTTCTCCCATTTTTCTGGCAACCCAATATTATTAGCCTTGACGCTCATATATCTCTTCGTGGAAGGTCCTACTCACAGAGTATACAATATATAAAAACTGGAGACCTGTGGATTTGTGAGGTGTGACATCATTTGTCTCCAGAATCTCCATAAATATGACCTGTACAGCAGGCCTCATAGTCTGGTCAATCACTGATACTGCAGGATATAAATAACACTATACTCATGGTGATAGATTGATCTATCTATCTATAAGGCCCGGTATACATTGTTACTGTTTGTCTTTGTTAGGTGTTTTACTTAATTCTGCGTGTTGGGCCACTAGTTCGTCCTGACAATTTTAAGCTGATTAAAAGCAGCAGCAGGTAGGTAAACCCTCTTTAGGCTCTGTACCTTCCCTTATGGTCCTCTGGTCAAAAGCCGGCTTCTGATGAACCAGGGAACCAGGTATCCTTCCAGGGGCAGATGGGGGGAGAGGGCTTCTCCTTTTTTACCTCTTCCTTGTTCACATTAATGCATATCTCATTTAGAGTGCCTTGCAAAAGTATTCACCCCCTTGACTTTTTACCTATTTTGTTACATTACAGCCTTAAGTTCAATGTTTTATTAATCTGAATGTTATGTGATGGATCAGAACACAATAGTCTAAGTTGGTGAAGTGAAATAAGAAAAATATATACTTAAAACTATTTTTTAGAAATAGAAAACAGAAAATTGACACGTGCGGATGTATTCACCCCCTTTGTTATGAAACCCATAAAAAGCTCTGGTGCAACCAACTACCTTCAGAAGTCACATAATTAGTAAAATGATGTCCACCTGTGTGCAATCTAAGTGTCACATGATCTGTCATTACATATACACACCTATTTTGAAAGGCCCAGAGGCTGCAACACCTAAACAAGAGGCACCTCTAACCAAACACTGCCATGAAGACCAAGGAACAAGTAAGGGGCAATGTTGTTGAGAAGTACAAGTCAGGGTTAGGTTATAAAAAAATATCCAAATCTTTGATGATCCCCAGGAACCATCAAATCTATCATAACCAAATGGAAAGAATATGGCACAACAGCAAACCTGCCAAGAGACGGCCACCCACCAAAACTCACGGACCGGGCATGGGGGGCATTAATCAGAGAGGCAGCACAGAGACCTAAGGTAACCCTCGATGAGCTGCAGAGTTCCACAGCAGAGACTGGAGTATCTGTACATAGGATGACAGTAAGCCATACGCTCCATAGAGTTGGGCTTACGGTAGAGTGGCCAGAAGAAAGCAATTACTTTCAGTAAAAAACAAAATGGCACATTGAGTTTGCGAAAAGGCATGTGGGAGACTCCCAAAATGTATGGAGGAAGGTGGTCTGGTCTGATGAGACTAAAATTTAACTTTTGGACCCTCAAAGAAAACACTGTCTGGCGCAAACCCAACACATCACAGCACCCAAAGAACACCATCCCCACAGTGAAACATGGTGGTGGCAGCATCATGCTGTGGGATGTTTTTCAGCAGCCAGGACTGGGAAACTGGTCAGAGTTGAGGGAAAGATGGATGGTGCTAAATACAGGGATATTCTTGAGCAAAACCTGTACCACTCTGTGAGTGATTTGAGGCTAGGATGGAGGTTCACCTTCCAGCAGGACGATGACCCCAAACACATTGCTAAAGCAACACTTGGATGGTTTAAGGGGAAACATGTAAATGTGTTGGAATGGCCTAGTCAAAGCCCAGACCTCAATCCAATAGAAAATCTGTGGTCACACTTAAAGATTGCTGTTCACAAGTGCAAACCATCCAACTTGAAGGAGCTGGAGCAGTTTTGCAAGGAGGAATGGGCAAAAATCCCAGTGATAAGATGTGGCAAGCTCATAGAGACTTATCCAAAGCGACATGGTGCTGTGATTGCCGCAAAAGGTGGCTCTACAAAGTATTGACTTTAGGGGGGGGAATAGTTATGCACATTGACTTTTTTTGTTATTTTGTCCTATTTGTTGTTTGCTTCACAATAAAAAATAAATCTTCAAAGTTGTGGGCATGTTCTGTAAATTAAATGATGCAAATCCTCAAACAATTCATGTTAATTCCAGGTTGTGAGGCAACAAAACACGAAAAATGCCAAGGGGGATGAATACTTTTTCAAGGCATTGTACTTCATGTTTATAAACCCACTGTCCAATTGGAAAGTGTTCAAATATTCTTATGTGAGTGATGTTAACAACAACGTCTCCTTGTTGTGTGAGTTGAATTACTTTTCAAAAATTAAAATTTTATCAACAAACACTAGAGGGAGACATTGTTACACTAATAAGGGATCACGAATGTTTTAAACTGGATCATCGTCCTTAAATGAAAAGAAAAAAGAAATTGTAAACACTAATTATACCTTTTATTCAATTTACAGATCAAACAGCAATTACGAGTTGCGTAAGTCAGTAGAATAGCATTTTTATAGGGTTATTCAATAACGTGATAAATAGATTAAATTCAAAGTGAATTTCACACTGAAGGTCAAAATAGTTTAACTGGAAAAATTCTACGCTAGTTTATGCCCGTTGTTTGGGTATACTGACCTAAAATTGGAGATTCACTTTGAGTTTTCACTTCAGTGAATAACCCTGCTAGACTAGTAATGTTTACTTATACCACTGCATTTGATACACTGTGGAGGCTAATCACAAGGAATTGTTGAAAAGTGACAACAAAATTGCATATTTTCTGCCAAATAAACCAGTATTGGAAATATCCTCCAAGTCAGCTATTCGCCTCCATTTCAGCTTTTTTTTAAACTTAAATTTCACAATTCCATTGTCTTCCAGTTTATTGATTAATCCCAAACATTACCCATGATACTTTGCTTCAGGGAAATATATTTAAACCCTCTAGCTATAAGCAATTGTTTGAAAGAATATTAGGACCGATTTAATTTGAAGCGTGAGATGCATGATTAGCAGCTAAAGATATATAAAACAGCAATGTTGTGTATAGAATTATTCTCAAACAAAAATTACACAATTGATATGTTTAATTCATTAATTCATACTTTACAGAAGTGTTAGGTGAATGAAGTCTTTAGATTGCATACAGTATGGCATGTCTTCCAATATTTCACACATGGTCTGAAATGTTAGTATAAAGCTAAAAGCAAAACTAGATTATTATTTTTTTCTCACAACCAATTGGTGTGACAAAAGTAGATGAATGAAAATGGTCAGGCAGTAAGCTTGTAGGTAATTTAAGGACCCTGATGGCATTACTATCAGTCCAGGTTACTGAATATGCCAACTGAGCAACAGAATGTAAAAAGAATGTTTGCTTTTGAGCATAATGCCCACATACAGTAATTACCTTAAATGCTTACATTTCTAATCAATCTCTGGAATGAGTGTGTCCAAGTGTGTATCTGTGTGTGAAATGTAAGTCTAACAGTGGAAAGGGAGGTGTCCCCCCCTAACTGTAAGAATGTTATGACCCATTCAAACTTACTTTACTGTTTTAAAAGAGGGGGTTATGCTCTGCACATTTGAAGACTTTAAATTGGTTTAATTGATTATTTTAATAATGCTATATTTGTAATAATTCCTGGAGTATATCTATATTAAGATGAGAGGCTTTATGGTTTTTTATAATTAATATGTTTTCTTTATTTCTGTTAAGAAAATAAAAGCGAAAAATCGTATCTACGTTTTGGAAGTGAAGGGGTTAATATAGTATTTGTATGTTACCGTTCCTCTCTAATTATCCTGATGTATTTATGTTGTTTTTTGTACAAAGTCAGATGCATCAGAGTTTCAATATAAAAGGAAAAATAAAATATATAACGCAAAATACATGAAAATTAGCGCCAAGCTCTTTGTCATTCACCTCCAGCAAGTTTTATGAAGCCCATCGGAGAATATACAGCAGTGTTTATTGTTCTGGGGTGCAGTTTAACCTGTGTTGGCCACATACAATTATTTAAAAAAAAAATAATTAAACATGGAAGTTGGCAGCAGATTTTCTTGAATGCATAAAAGCACATGCGAGCACCCCTTTGTTTACTTCTATAAGAAATTACAGAGCAGCTGAGCATGTACGAGAATGGAATCACAGATATCTTCTAGGACATAGTTTCAGTTCACTGCAAGACTGGGAAAAGATCATAGCTGACAGATTAATGCCAACATAAAGACAAGATGAAATATTGTCATTATATAAATATCCATTATCTATCAAATGCGTAAAATATGGTACACAAATAGTTTTTCAGACTACCAAAAAAGACTTGTATTTCTCTTCAAATAATTCTCATTTGGATTAAAACATTAACTTAACAACTGAAATGTAATCACTGATATCTGAATGTAAACAGAGTTATTCATTAAACTGGGAAATGTTGGGAATTCCAAGTTCCGAGTTCAAAGTCAATTTCAAATTTAAAGCAAAATACCGAAACTGGAAACATTCTCTTAAGGGGATCTTGGTTAAAGTTCGAACTTTAGTAATTTAGAGCCACATAGCAAATTTGACGCTAAAACAGAAACTTTGGAAAAATTCTTCAACTCAGTGTGGCTATTTTAGCCTCAATTGTGTCATTCAAATCTAGTTTGTTAAAATTCAGAGTTTACGGAGTAACTCTGTAAAATCTGCTGTGTTTTAAGTTCAGCTATTTTGGCTTGAAAATTTAATTTAAAGTCACTTAGAACTCAAATTGAATTCGCAACAATTTCCAGTTATGTGAATAACACTGCAAATAGCACCATTTAAATTACCAGTCTTGAGAGTCTTAGTTGTTGTCCTCCCTTTTTCTCTCTCCATTAGAGAGATGGTAATATTGAAAGAAAGATTAAACAAGATTTACGAAGCAAACATCAGTGTTCTATCGGTTATTGCAGTTTGTTAACTTTGACACTATGTATTTTCATTTACCAGTACCCAGAATTCATTGCTGCGGCAAAAGCCCTGTTTACTTAGTGATTACGTAATAACGAGGTAAAACAGGTTTTTAAATGTCACATGTAGACGCTCCCATACATGTCCTTTATTTTGCCGGTATGTCAAGCAGATGGATAGTACCACTTTTTTAACCACTGTAATTCTTTTCTAGAATGTGATATCAGCTTTATATATTCAGAGTCCATCTTCCTAGTGATAAGGCTCAGTGTTCACAGCAGCTGTTACGGGAAGGTTCGTATACTTTGGATTTCCAGAGAAGATTTCATCATAAAGGGGAAATATCCTTAAGTTTCCTCCCATTAAAATAAAATAAAAATAGTTTGATTATTGATCGTTAAATTGATCATGATTTTCACTCAACATGCAATTTTAATGAATTGTAAACCAAATTGTTAAATATTGGGCAAAAACATCCTATGTGGCAGGGAAATTCCAGATATTTTGGACTTCATCTCCCATGGTGCTTTGCCAGCGTTATGACTATAAGGGCTTTATGGGAGACGTAGTTCACAATATCTGGAGTGCCGAAGGTAAATTACCCCTGTTTTATAGGAAACTTTTCCAACTCTTCTACAGTCACAGCTTGACTAATTTAGCCTAAATTTTGAAATACACTTTTTAATTCACTGTAATTCTGTATTTAGCAAATAAACCCCACACACACTTCCTTCCTGATATCTAGAAATTCTCTGTGAATTTATCTATGACCACTACCCACGGATTCTCTTACGTGAGAATATTTCCTTTGACTACATATCTCCAATTTCACCCCCCATTGGGGATTGGAAGCAAATAGTCCTCAGCAACTGAATGATTAAAGGAACACTCCAAGCATTATAAACAACACAAAATGATGCAGTAGTTATTGTGCCAGGAGGGCCCTGGCACCCTTCCAGTGTAAGTAATCAAATAATTTGATAACGGTTTGACAGCTAAACTGGTGTTCGCTGGGCGCCGCCGGTCACTTCCTTCACTGACACCGGGAAGATCTCTGCTCTGAGTTACCCTAATTATTATTATCACTATTATTTCATTATTTATATAGCGCCAGCAAATTCCGTAGCACTGTACAATGAAAGCGTCATTCAGCAACATCCTGCTCTCAATGATGACTGGTATCTAGCGGACCCCAGGTAAGTTATCAAATAATTATCAAACAGTTTAACGACTTACATTGGAGAGCACCAGTGAACCCCTGTCACCATAACCATTACAGCATTCCGTAGTGGTTATGGTGCTTAGAGTGTTTCTTTAAAATGCATTCCTGACCACAGAATTAACGAGGCTGCCTGTAAAGATGGCTGACTCGTGTATTAAAGTGGAGTAGCAGGAATTAAAGTTAGTGGAGGAAAATCTGTTTTTCCTGACTTTGTATGTTTCAAATCCCGAGACCCCAGGTCGTCAGAGTTCAATTAAAGGCAATATCAATACATGAGTAACCCATGTATGTAAATCTACATTTAAATGTAGAGTTCTGTTAATATACTAAAACTATTTAGGTGGCAAAACTAGTCTACTACAGATGGAATGCCAAAGGTTAGTGGCTATTGACCTACACTGTTGCTAACAGTAAATTTTTTTTTTAAATTCTATAGACACATGTATAAAAATATACATAGACAAATCATGAAAACACTGAAACATAAAGAGACTTACATTTATATATACATATATACACACATAGTTTTAACATATGGTACAGATTTTATGCACACGTCCCAAGATGCACATATTAAAGAGAATTATCTCCATTAAGAGATTTCTCCAGTCTCTGGATCACGATAGAGAACCTAAGCATCTTCTTAAACTTAAATAATAGGCTTCACAGTATCCAAAGACTCACAGAAATGGCTCTTCGTAGTGTAGTTTGGCTTTTTTTCTGGTAGGCGAGGAGGCGGTGTGTTCATAAAGAGCAAATACAGTGTAACATTCTAACAGGGGGAGCACCAGTGCAGTCCATTGGTTTCCATGGCGATTACTTAATCTGTAGAACCACTCTTTACATTACGTTGATTATAACATTGCACGTTCCGGGTTCTCGATGTCACAGGCCAGTGTTCCAATTTATGGACTCTGAGGAGTGGGAGCAGCATGGAACTAAAGAAGGAACTGGTTCTGAAAGGCTTTTCTTTAAAGCATCCAGTTTCTTAGCTTCGAACACATCCTTTTCATCTCGAAGCTTTTTGTTCATGTCTCTGCAACAGAGAGGAGAACACTGAATGTCATCCCTATATACAATGAGTATTCGTGTGCTGACCTACCATCCTTCATTTTAGATACACAATATATTTGAGAATTGAGACGGCATGCATAGGTACTGGTCACCAGCACTCCACTTCATTCTAGTTACAAGTCAATGCCTTGAACATTGGTGATGAAAGGAAGCACAAGGGCAGTAGCGCTGCAATCCTATTAGAGGTTAGGGGTGAGAAAGGCGCTTGATTCGTTTGTCACAGTAGAAGTGCCTCTGCTGGCTGTCGGGCTAGACAGCCCCCAGAGGTGTGTTTAACCCTGCAATGAAAATGTTGACATATCTGCTAAATGGCAATGCTTTACACTGCAGGGTTAAAACTAAACAGGACAACGGCACCTTGACCACTTCATTGAGGTTAAGTGGTTTGGCTGCCTTTAGTGATCCTTTAATTTGCTATTTCTATGATATCTATCAACATCATCTACTGACCAACTTGAAAACAAGGTTTGCAGAACAAAAATGTATTTATTTAAAATTGTTCTGAAATCCAGTCCTATAGGCACAGGTGGAGACCTCGATTCAACAAATCACCACTAGTCTAACAAAAAACAAAAACAGGACTGCATATTGTACAAACCTGATATACTGACAAAGTTATTCACTGATGAGAACTTTGCTGTGAATTCAAAATTAACGCCAAAAATATTCCAAAATGGGCAAATGAGAAAAATTCTCCAAGTCAATTTTCTTTTCCGTATAGGTATTTTGCCCTTAAATTAAAATTTTGCATTAACCCCTTAAGGACACATGACATGTGTGACATGTTATGATTCCCTTTTATTCCTGAAGTCTGGTCCTTAAGGGGTTAAATGGATACTATAATGCCAGAAATACAAAGCTGTATTCCAGACACTATAGCTCCTTCTGCCCCACCCCCAACCCCCACCCTCACCCTGTATAATAAAGGGTGAAAAATTATTTATTTACTTACCTAATCCCTGCGCCGATGTCCGATAGCGTGTGGGTCGTGCTATTCACATCCTCCGACATCTCTCATCAAGCTGGCACTAATGCGCATTAGGCCTGGCATTAGGGAAGCATTCAATCAATGATTACCAATGGGGAAATAGCTGATGCTGGATGTCCTCATGCAGTGCGTGAGGACATCCAGCGTCAGATACCGGACCAAAAGTACGTTAACATCCAGGAAGCACCTCTAGTGGCTGTATGGGAGACAGTCACTGGAGGCAGACTTAGGGCTGCTATGTAAACATTGCAATTTCTCTGGAAGTTTACAGAGAGTTGAGGTGCCTATAGTGTCCCTTTAAATCCACTTTTAATTGCTGGAAGTTCTCACTTTATTGACTAGCACTCAAAGTGTATGAAACATTCAAGCCCTCACTTCAATGCATTCTGATATATATCCATTTAATAATGTCGTCTCACATTCATACTCCCTCCACATGTTGGTTTGACAGTTAAAATAACAAAGCAGACAGAATGCTGTAAGACACTTGAATGCACCTAACATTTTACCAAGTAGGTGAACCTTACCAAAGCAGCACATTTCCCAGCCAATCAGCAGTGGCCGTTCACAAGGAAACCATTGGGTGGTCACTTTGTGTCACTGCTACCATGGTGACAGAACACAGCATTGGATAAAATGCAACCAGGAATTTTTTAGAAGCTCCAAAGAAGGATTACGACCCCACAGGGCCTTACGCAGGTTCACAGGGCCCTCCTTTAATTCTTCACACAAGGATGGTGAATGGAACCATGGAAATTCATGGTCCCTATCTAAACCCTGGGCCATACGTTTAGATAACATTGTCTTATGGTTAATCGTGCTCCGAGAGGCTCCCTGCCACACGATCAAATGGCATGTATCACTCAAACTATGTACCGTATTATCTCAAAAATAAATCGCTTTAAGGCTCTATCCGCATATTGCTCTACATAGCTATATTACCTGAGAAGTTCCAGTTGCCTCAGGAGACTTTGTTTCTCTTTCTGCATATTTCTTGAGACTCGAAACACCTCTCTGAAAATTTAAAAAAAAAATAACAGAATCAGGACAATATTTTTGCCAAAGTTATTTACTTAAGTCATCTTCAGCTAATTGAGCCTTTTTTGTAGCATGTGGCTGTGTTCAGTTGTGAATGAGGTTTGAAACTACATGTATATTGCAGGTGCTTTCAAAAAAACAAGTCTAAACATTGCAAAATATTACACACTAACATTGTGGTAAAAAAATCCAACAAAAGTGGAGCAAAATTACCTTAAGGTTGCTATTACAGTCCAAACACATTAAACAACTCTCAAAACCCAATATAGACAGAAATAAAGTATGTAGAGTAGTATATTTTACAAGACAAAATAAATTATTGGATCTTTCCTCTTATCTGCCCTCCACTCTTCCCCCACATCTTTGTAATCATCAGAACTCCACCTCCCTCGTCATTAAACTCCACCTCCCTCATCATCGGAACTCCTCCTTCCTCTGGATCTATAGGCAGAAACTGCCGGCATATAGGTCCACATATAACCTACCATTAAGATTAAAACATATATACAATAATGGAACTGTGACGCCACTGACAGGATTGAAACCTAACGTAAATATTACATTTAAGATAAAATTTGACTATTTCCAACTGACACATTTTACTGCCAAATTGCTCCACTCTGCAGACTCTACAAGGGAACTGATGTTCTTTGAACAACTATGCCTACAACCAACCTAACTCTCATGGTATCTCAGTATTATATAGCACACTATAAAGCACTTTAAAGACCTCCCCACTCCTGTTCTATACCAAATACGGTAAGGAGAACTTTGAATTACTATACCAGGCCCCTGAAAAGATCTCTGCCTATTCTCCCCAAATCCAGAATGTAGGAGATGTGGCAGAGGGCTTGGAACGCACATCCACATTTGGTGGAAATGCTCTCAAATCCAACCATTTTTTTGACAAGTACATAGAATCCTATTGATTCTGGTAGACAATCCCTTGACCTTCTCCCCAGAAATATTCCTTCTTCATGTATACCTACACTTGACAGGTAAATACAAAAGTTCTATACGCCGGCACGTCATTAACTCAGCCAGAAGCCTAACAGCAGCAAATTGGAGGAGGAACTCGACACCAGCTATTAAGAACTTGATTTAGAAAGTGGAAGATATTTGGAGAATTGAGGAATTAGTCCCGACAGCTGCAGATAAATATCAAAGGTACACGGCCACACTGGATGACCCTTCTTGAATCTGACTTTTAAGGGATCATTGTACATACCTCTACCCCAGCGTGGGGCTCCCTGGAGAGTAGGGGTGAGTCTCCATCTGAATGCCTCCCAAAAGTATACAAACCTTACATGGTAATCTCCCCTTCTCCTGGACCTTTTATTCTATATCTCCCCCCGTTTTTCTCTTATACCCTCTCTTTTACATGAATGTTTATGAGATTTTCTGAAGCTTCATGTAGATTGTTAGCATGCATTTTCATAAGACCCGATAACCTTGACAAATATATACTCATGGTGATTACTTGACAAAGTGATATATTTTATAACAGCGGACATTGTAGCGGATTGCATTAAGGCTCTCCTCAAGAATTCGTATTAAAAATGTATTTGTGTAATTGTTTCCCTGTGTAACTGTAAGTGTATGTAGCTTTCGGATGATTGTTGGTTAGTTTTCATACGAATGAAACTACCGAACCATCAGACCACCCCAGTGAGAAGTGTGCACCTCGTTAAGCTTTCACACTCTGTAACCAAAACTTAATGGACCGTGAAATTGATATATTGTATGTACCTGTGTGGTCGCTGTTCGGTATACGAACCGCGTGCGGAGGCCATCTTACACAAGAAAATCTCAGCGGTGTTTGGTCGTCGAGTGTCTGGAACTCAAATCGGACACTCAAACACCTGAACACCGCTGAGACCTCCAGAGCTCCATAACTCCCGAACTGAGGGGCCAGTCAGCCCCTCGTTTGGAAAAATAAATGTACCGAACAAGGGAATACAGATGAATAGAAGATTGTCTGTGGATGGCAAGGATTACTGTATGTTTTAACTACCGAACAGAGACCGACCGCAGCGCCAAAACACATGGAGCCTTTTTCGGATACCACCTCGCGTGCAGTCCGTCAAATTTCACCTTCCACCTAACTCCCGAACCACTGGTCCGATCTGGGTGAATTTTGAATATGTTAGTCACCCAGATTTGGGCTACAAGGGGGTACCCAAAATATTATTCTAGCTGCTTGTTTTGGGGTACATCCAGAACTCGGAAAACTACAGTATGTTTAATTGGATTATGTGTCACACTGAGGGGAGGAGATGTGTGGGAGGTAACTGTTATAATATTGGCTACTGTAATAATTACTGTGAATCCCTCCCTTGCATGGGAGAAAGCTTTAAAAGAAGGTTAAGTGATTAAAAGTTCAGTTCTGCTCCTGATGCTGTGTGTCGTCCAGTCACTGGGATCTGTATGGGGATATTCGTGGATTACCTTACTTGCTGTACTTATTGTTATATATATATTTTATTACTTGTTCCTGAGCCTCACTGGGATCTTTAGTGGAGTTAACCTGTGAAAGACCAGCTCTCCGCTACAGACATTTTTTTAAAATACGACTGTATGTTCGATCTTTGTTTGTACAATCTAGTACCTGCTTATATTCTAACTGTGCACCTTGTGCAACTTAATTATTCTATGCGCAATAAATATTGAATTTTTAAAAAGAGCTCTGGTAGGCATATCTCTCCCTTTTCCATCCAGCAATACCACCAGACACTGGAAACAATGGTTTGTCTTCCATTCACATAGATCAACTACAAGGGGATGGCAGAACAGTGTACAAGCTTTAAAATGCGTACAGAGGCAATGGATATTAAAGTTGTTCAATCTTGATCAACTTCCTTGATTTTGTTTTCTTATACTGTTTTATTAACTTGTATTTTGCTGCTGTGGTTTCATTGCCGAACACCCTACTGCCTAATCTAACTTCTCTCCTGGAATGACTCATCACTCAGTTATGAATGTTCTCAGTTTTATTGCCACTCATATCAACATATATTTCCCCTCTACACCTGTTCTTTTGCAGACAAGATGTACACTCCTTGAATATCTGAATACAGCAATCTTCACATTCCATTTAGATTTTTTCCTATTATATTATCAAGCTTCTATATTCAGCGATGCACTCTGCCTACACAATCCTCCACCCCTCTTCTTCTATCTCATTTGACACACCTTATAGGTATTGGTACAATACCTATTTTCACTGGTTTGATGTGACCCTACTCACTTTTCATAACCCAAGTTTCTCTATGCTTTCTGGAGGCTTTGATACGAACCCCTTTTGCTATGCCTCCTACTATTATGTTACTCTGTCTTAGTGCCAGATGATGTCCTAGGCCTTTCATTCGTCACATGCTATTGTGTAATATGTGATGACTCCTCTGTAATATGTTTTCCTTTTTTTAAGTGTTCTTTTTTGTTTTGTACTATGTTTATATCTATTATAACTACCACTGGTACTGCAAATGTGTGAAGAGATCACTGATCGAGAAAAGCTCAAAAAATTATCATAGGTACAAAAATACATTGACTTCCTTAATGTAATAATGTATTAAAGAATACTATAGTCACCAGAACAACTACAGCTTATTGAATTTGTTCTGGAGAGTAGAATCATTACCTTCAGGCTTTTTGCTGTTAACACTGTCTTTTCAGAGAAAATGCAGTGTTTACATTACATCCTAGTGATAACGTCACTGGCCACTCCTCAGATGGCTGTTAGAGATCCTTCCTGGGTCATAGCTGCCTAAAATGCATCCAAACATTCAGTATCTCCTCCCTCTGCATGCAGACACTGAACTTTCCTCATAGAGATTCATTGATTCAATTCATCTCTATGAGGAGATGCTGATTGGCCAGGGCTGTGTTTGAACCATGCTGGCTCTGCCCCTGATCTGTCTCTTTGTCAGTCTCAGCTAATCCTATGGGGAAGCACTGTGATTGGATCAGACTACCACTTCTGATGATGTCAGCAGACAGCTTGTTTTTCTGACTCAAACAGCATGCAGAGTTACAGCTTCAGGCTTGAATACAGTAAGATTTTGCGATATTTATAGAGGCATGAGAGGCCCGGGGGGCTAGATGGTGGTTTTGACACTATAGGGTCAGGAATACATGTTTATGTTCTTGACCCTATAGTGATCCTTTAACTCAGGGAACCAATATGACTGAATGAATTGAAAGAAAATGTTCTGTCACGTATTGGCCATGTTTTTAACTAAATAATTTGTATGAATTCTCACCTTTTCTTGTGTTCCTGCTCTTCTTGCTCTTGTTTTCGCAGACCTTGCAGATTGCTCTGTGCTCTCTCCAGGTCTCCTGTGATCTTCTCTAGTTGTGCAATGAGGTCCTCGTTGAGTTTCTTTAGACGGTCATTTTGAACACGGGTCTCGAGTTGTTCACTGTTTATGGAATGTAACTGATTCTCCAGCTGCGAAAGAGAGACAGAGAATAACATTGAATGTTTGATGAGAACCTTCTCCACCCATCATCAAGGTTTATACTGAAGACAAATAATGCTCATAGACTAGAGAATTGAATGTCGAATTGTGTAAAGAATCAGCGCATTTGAGATATCAATAAATAATTAATTCTAAAAAGAAAGGCAAGAGTTCAAAAAACAAGAATGGAGGATGGACAGAAGTAACAAAATATTCTACCAACTAATTCTAACGTAGTTATATAAAAAAGCAACACAAAAGTACTTGTGAATAATGCTTCTAGTGGATTCCAAGAAAATTAAAAGTATCCATCAGTAATGATATCTGCAGGCAGAGTAGATGAAAAAAGTAATTTTGTGAGGTGGTGCCAAGGAAATCCTATACCCACTGCAGCACTCTGTAGTGGTTATGGTATTTTAAGTCTTCCTGTAATAACTATACAATAAGATTATGTGAACAGTGTCCAGCATCAAAATTGCTGGGCATTGCTGGAAGAGACATGTCATATCCAAGCAAAAATTCAGCCAAAGCTGGCCATAACTGGACAGTGACCTTCAAAGACGTTTTGTGCTCAGGGTTGCATAATTAATCTCCTTCCAGGATTGAACCTTAGAGTTCTGTCTGAATTTATTTCTCAGTACGACCCCAATAAACATATCTTTAGAAATGCTCGTACACTACACTGTGCACCTGGACTACTCTAAGTGGAGCTGGTAAGCATGACTATCGTTCAGACATGTCTAGCTGAAATATCCCTTTCTATAGGAGGGACCTTCTCGTTATTGGTGGAGGCCTGTCCCCTCCATTTCATCATGACTATCCCACAATTACTATGAATCTATAGCACAAAGAGAGCATTTTGCTAGACACTACATCAGTATTTTGACACACATAGAGAGACACAGTTAGTAGTTTAATGAATAAAACCCTTCATAAATTAACATATTATGATATCATGATTTTACATAATTCTGAAAACATTAAACTGTTACTTTCCAGTCAGTGTTTAGAAATGTCTTTACTCTTTATGCTTGTGTCACCGCAGCAACAAAATCCTCGGTGTATGAGACACTAAGTTAGGTTTACATACAAGTAAACAAATGAACAGCAACAGCAAATATATAGACACAGACTGCTAAGGGGTGATAAATGTGCTCATAGATGGAGTCATGATCGAGTTGGCAACATATGTTTGTACACGAACAGAAATATGTGAAAGTCAATAGACGCTTTTTAACTAAATTATCTCTAGTGAAATACAAACTGAATGTTACGCCTATAGTTGTTGTGCATATGATATCAACTGGGCTTACATTGCCACAACAGCAGAATTAAGCATTTCAGAAACAGACATGATGATACATTGGCATGGCAGTCAAACTAATGGTACATATTTTTTGTTTATAACATAAGAAATCAGGCTAGAGATGTATGGAACTGTACTGTTTTTGCAACTAACGCCAGGCTAGTGAAAAATAAGATATCTAGGTATAAGTAGCTAATAGCTATTGAATTAGGTTGCTCTAACTGGCGATATGGTATTAACATGCTCAGTTACATTATTTTCATCGAGCCCACTATATGGTGGCTCAGTGGAGAACTTGAATAGGATGCCTAGTCTTAACCACGGGTGGTGGGCACAAGGTGATTGGGTACCCCTAACCAAGGGGACAGCGGGGGGAGGGAGGGGCAAACCTTGGCGCATATTAATAGCGTCAAGGGCTGCATGTGGCGTTAAGCCATTGGGCCCAACTGTATATAATATTCATCTGTGAGGCTAAGTTACAAAATCAAACCAAGAAATGAACAACAAAGTAAAAGTAAACTGGAAACAGGAATAGAGACATTGCCCAATATAGCTTGCGACAGGCTGTGCCCTGTAATACGGCAAAGTCAGGTCCCTGGGACAGAGGCATGATTCTCTCCAGGCACAAAGGGGACTATATTGGAGGGATCCCACGTTGTGGGTATGTGGGTCTCAAGACCATCCTTAGTGTGGGGGTGAGTCCCAGTGTCCCTACTAGAGACAAAGCTTCTTGGAGGGTGGAGGCTTTGTAAGCAGTACCATTGTGTGTAACAGACAGGAGTCTTAGGGCCACCCAACGGTAGGGTATTCTGGCTTACTGGAGTTGGCTTGTAACTGGGCGAAGGGATCTCTGCCATTTGAGTGTAGCTCTGCTGAGGTCTTGGAAGATGGTGATTTGCGTGGATTTGAATGTGTATGGTGTTTTGCCTTGCAGGGCCGCCATGATGTGCCGTTTGTCTTGGGAGGATGAGCATCTGGCTAAGACGTCCCGTGAGAACAATATTGGTGCTTGTAGAGATCTATTAGTGCAGTATACACCATCGAAGACAATCTTCTTGGCTTGAGTCGGGGGTAAGAGTGTTGATACTAGGCAGCGCAAGTAGTGCGGCAGCTCTTTTGCTGGAACAGCGTCAGGGATACCACTGCTGCCACCCAGGAGTAATGGGAGTTTGAGCTCAGGACTTGTTTCATTGTATTCGTATTCACTTTTGTATCACACAGCTAGGTTGCAATGCTGCTGCCCATCCCATGAGTTCCCTAGTAAGGGTTAATAAGCATGTAGGGATGTATATAAAAAATACCCCTTTCTGTCTCATTAGAGATATTTTGCCAGAAGCTCAAGGAAGCAAGGCGAATGGTTAGAGTTAGGACCCACCTAAGAGGTCCGCCTTGACGTGGCAGGTAGGCATAACCTCTCATGGCCATTGGAGGTAACTAAAAACCTCCATTTGTTTAAAAATACCTAGGGATGTGGAAAGAGCGCAGGTAACTTTTTTTTATTACAAACAAAGTTATGATAGAACTGCATAGGTAAAACATGGGGCAGGTACCAGAGATTGCACCATACCTGTTTCTGTCGTAGGACAATGCTGTCCAGCTCTTGCTCCTTCCTGACCAGTTCCCTCTGAAGAGCTGTGTGTCTGTCCTGATGCCTGGATGAGTCCTGTGAAAAGAAAGACAAATTGTCATTTATATAACTATTGTAGAGTATATGTTACAGAGTCAATGTCAGAAACACAAGTGAGAATCTTCAAGAATTTTTTCATCCAAACTCAGGCCAGTCTTGCTAAGCATATGCTGAATCATGCAGATAATAGACATATGTACATTTCATTAAAGGCAAACTATATCGTTAGGAATACAAACCTGTTTTCCTTAAGCTGTAGTGTCCTTGTTCTTTTTCCATCCCCTCTATATGCCAAAAAAATATTCCTGCTCGCCACAATGTCACGGAGGAGGCATGGCCTTCTCTATGTTGGTTCAATCCAATGCTCCTAATTGAGGAGTATTGGGGACCTAATGCGCATTTGTGGTGAGCGTCATTCATGCATTTAAACTTCCCCATAGAAAAGCATTGAATCAATGTGGGTTTTACTCAGTCAGTGCCACAGAAGTGCTTCTGGTGCCTTTCATACTGATGCCCACTAGAGATGGACTTAACCCTCAAAAACCTGCAATGTTTTACAATGCAGGGTTAAGAAAGCAGGGGCAATCTCAATGAAGTGGTCTGGGTGATTATAGTGTTCCTTTAAGTGAATGCAGTGTGTCTTCTTTGTAGTTCACTCGAACAGGAATATAAAGTTAGACCATATATTGCCAACAACTTCTGAGGACCATACTCATGTTCCAGGGTTGTTTACCATACATGGGGAAATGTATTCATCAAATTCAATCCACAAACAACTGGCTGTCCTAGAGAAGATGCTGTAAGAATGTGAAATATATTTTAATAGTGTTTCATTCATGTTTTATGTATATTATTTCCATAGCATTCTATTTGAGGCTTATCTCTACGCTTTTTTTTTTTTTTGCAAGAAATTTTCCATAAAGCATCTTTTTTGTCATGTTATTCTCCCATTCCATTATGATTCATTTTTTTGTTCACAAATTTGACATTTTCAATATATATTTTCTGTGACAGGTAAACTTTCATGCTCTTCCTTTTTGTTTAATGTATACAACTATCTTCAAACTATATTCCCTCGTAATATTACTAATTTGACCTATTTTGTGAATGTAATCAATGGTAAAATTATCAGGGGGAAAAAAAGTCTATAATCTAAAAGAGGAAGAAAAGAGTAAACAGGTTATGTTGGAGTACTACAGAAAGGACAAAAATAAGGAACCCATTGAAAAAATGTTTTTATACATTGATAAAATGTTATACATTAGAACATGGCGCAAATGCTCAAAACCAGCAGTGACGTGACAGCAAAAGTGAGACTTTTTATACATAACGCCTAATGTTTAACACTTTGTCTTCAATTGGAAAATATAAGGTGTGTCATGTGGATTCTGGTTCTTTATGTTTTAGATCAGATTCTCATGACCAAATTTAGTTGTCTAACAACAATCCATTATACTTGTTGTCTCTAAATACCTCAGCTTGTACCTCCTTCCCATTTTACCCTCTATCTCCATAGATTGCAAATGTGTCATCCCACTATTTGTTTCATTTAGTACCTTTCTGAGAAGTCGATCCCTTTCTATCTTGATCTGTTGCTCCATCTCCTCATATAGACATCTCACTTCCCGTCCATGATCAATCTCCTTTCTACAAGACCAAACATATTGCTAAGTCCAATCTAACACCAATCAAGATGTGAATTGATAATTATGCTTAAAACTTTAAGAAAAACACCACAGTAAGCAGGTCATACGGTACTAGTAGTTATTGTTGGTCTAAGCTTTATAATAGATCAGAACATTCAAGGCTCCTGGACTGCAGGTCAACTTGTCAGCTTTTTTGAATATTCCAAAATGAACAACACATTATATTTTCTAGTTATCTTGCGTGATAGAAATTAGAATAAAAGTCAATGAATAAAATAATGAATCCATGTCCAAAATACTCAAATCTAGATTTAGAGTGATACATTTCACAGCTCAAGGTTCCGAGACCATCATTTAGGTCTCTAGAATTGAATTAAAAAATATCTTACCAATTACAATAGTATGTAAATACAGTAATACATTTAGTAATTTAGAAAGTCATTAACTCTGTTCAGTAATTATGTCATGAATTTTCTTTATTCAGATTTGGAATTGGATCTACATTATTGTGATCAAGCATTGAATCTCCATTTGATGGAGTCGATGTTGTTAATATTTACACACCGTTTTAGAGCCTGCTCCAATGTTTCTTTCTCGTGATGTACATCCCGAATATAAGAGGACACTCGGAAAAGGAAGTCTTCGAAATTTCCCAGGAGCTCTGGACGTTCTTTACGAAGACGGATCCACATATCTCGGATCTCTTTGTGTCTAAAAAAGGGATTGGGAGAAGTGGGTATACATTTGGGACAACAGATGAAAGAAAAATGAGCCATGACAAAAAATAAAAAAGCTTTGACATGTTTTGATATTGGAGCTCTCAATTACTGACATAGCAGTGCTGTTCAATAGTTTTATTTGGCTTTATTTCAGCAAAACTCACTTGAATCTAGTAAAGAGTCTAAGTTGAAAATGTAACAACTGACGTGTGCCAAAGGAACCCGATACTGTGTCGGGTAAAGTTTCCATTAGTTTCTATGGCATTTGCCAAGAACATGTCCACTTTAGAAGATTTTGTTTAGGTAAGAAGACATTTAGCAAACTTTCAATAACTGCCTGTGTCACTGATCCTGGCTACAACAATAAGGTTGCAATTGTGAAATCTGTACATTTTACTGTTTGTCGACCTTCAAATACAACAGGATACACTTTGTGCAATTATAAGATTTAGAGTAACACTGTGATCATGTTTTAAATGGATTATGAAGATAATACAATAAACTGTGGGTAAAACCCTAAAAATATATATTTAAATTTTGAGCATTTGCTGTAAATCCCCAGGATCTGCCGTTTCTCCAGTGAGGTCAGCAAAAACTAAGAAGTGAATTATGTATCTCAGCATATGCAGGCCTGTCCAGCACATTTATTGTGAGCACTGTAGTATCCCATTTTGGTAAATAACCCTGTCAGAACTGGGAATTATAGAAAAGGAAATGGTAACTTTTTGGTCACAATCGACAAATAAAAAAACATTCACAGCTAAGCTATTTTGGCCTAAAAAATTAATTCCCTTGTTCCCTTTACAAAACAAACCCCAAACTTTTAAGCCTCTGTAATTTCCTTGGTGCATTAAACAGGAAATAAGAATTGGTGTACACATCTGTCCACATTATTAAAATATGTTTTACAGCACATAGTCTGAAATCTATTATAAACAAATATATTTCATCATTTTTAATTCTGGTCATAGCTCATCTTTACAACGGTGTGTCAAGCTTGCATATATCTGGTACCTGATATCCAAGAAAAAGCTCAGTATGAAAGATAATAGGAGACTCATAATTAAAAATAAGATTTTTTTGGTAGGAACACTTACTCCTGGAACACCCTTGCAGCTCCCAGTTGCTCCATGGTTGTACAAAAAAGCATGTCATCAGCATGATTCTCATCATCAGGTCCATCTGACCATCCGTACTCGAATGTCTCCTCCAGTACTGATTTCTCCCCCTCTTCTACCTCAGCGGGCAAGTTGACCCCCAGTAACTTACCTAAGAATAGAAAATCCATACCAATAAATTAATTAAATATTCTACTACAATCAGATTGAGTTTTATTTAAAAAAAAATATTTGCTAGAAATGATCACCATGTCTGATCATCTTTCCAAAATGCAGGGAAATCAAAGGTGAGCATTTTTGTATTCTATTAAAAAATTTCTAACTATTTAGTTAAAAATGTGCTGGGGTTTTTGGGTTTTTTTTAAACTTATTTTCCACTGTATTATTTAATGATACATCCTTCCCATAAGAAAGGGGGTTCAGCCCCTTTAAAACTGCTAAAAACAGAATTTGGCCTCACACACACTTCTACAACATTGGTGTTTGGCTACGCAAGATCAGTCAATCAAAAACATTCCTTGCGTCAAATACCACCTACCTTTTCGATTGCCCAACAATAACAGCGAATATTGATAAATTCACTTTATTATTTGTTATTCATTTTATTCTCTGTATAGATGCTGATTTTAATGTGATATAAACCACAAGAAAGTAAAAGTGCCAATTAAAGCAATATAAGTATAAACGGGCATTGCCTTAACAGCCATTTAAATATCATGAAAACAACATAAATTAAAACAATATACAGCAGATATTAGCTCAACATTATTATTGAAAAACGTGCAGTTTCCAAACAGGACTGTACATTGTGTTGCTCACCAAGTCCTATATCGAACTCCACAGGAGTGAGGTAGCCATTGTTGCTCTGGTCAAGGCTATCAAACACAGCCTCTAATTGCTCTGGGGTGAGGGGTAACTCATTCTGCAGCCTCTGGAAATATGAAGGTTAATAGAATTAGTGACAAATCCCAGGGTTCACAGATCACACAGTAAAGACTATCTTTATCACATTGCATGTTCACACCGCTAGCATTATTTTACATCATTGTCATTCTCACTCCTCTTCAATTTTATGGTTTTGTCTTTCAACAACTTCATTTTTGTTACATTTCTTTCCTTTCTTTTTCTTTTTCTTTTTTTTTTTAATTATTTCTCAACTACTAGCTGTCCAGAACATACATCCATAACCTGCATCTTAAACTTCCAGTAGCCAGAGCCTATAAGTGCACATTTGTTTGCATATTGTATGCGCCTTTAGATACCTGCAGATCTCGTTTGGTGATTAGCCCCTTCTCTTCTTTATCACAAAGTTGGAACAGCTCGTGAGCTTTTCCGATCATTTCCTGAGGTTCACTGACCAAGGGTGAAGGAGGTGTCCTGTTAATTGTCTTGTAACCTCTCCTTCCCCTAAGGAATGGGGAGGGCCTCCTTGGAGTTACCTTGGACTCCATGTCCCGGGGACGGGATGGATGTCCCCGCAGCTCAGGAAATCACTGTAAAATATTATGTAAAAACTCTTTAGAAATTTGTGTTTACAATGAGTGAAAGAAAATGAAAGGGAACATCAGTTGAGGTGGAAAGACATTTAGGCAACAATATCTATTGTTATTGTGGCTAGACAATTCTTATTTAATTTATGTACTAGTGATGAAGCCAGTGAAAGCCCTGGATACATCACAAGCCGATTGCTACCAGCCTCCAGATGTTTTTTTGCTAGGTATCAACAGGCCCATTTATACCAGTCCTCAAGGTACATCTCACAGGAAGGTTAAAAATTAAAAGTTTTTCCACTATTAGCCTGGTTTAAAAGTCACTTGCCACTGAAAACATATTTCTGTAAAGAGATTTTATATTTGTAGTCTTTAATGCTCTGTTGTAAATGCAATCAATGAGAACAAACAACTAAAGAGGACCACACAGGTGCCTCCAGCCTAGCGTATACTTCCCTTGAAAATATAACAGTAGAAATAACTGGGAACAATTTGAGAGCAAGATCAACACAAAACGATCAGCTACCACTCTGACTTACCGCATTATTGGACATAATTTTAATGCTTGGTGGAGTAGGAGAGCTGTATTTAAAGTGACACTGTAGTCATCAGAACAACTACAGCTTATTGTAGTTTTTCTGGTGAGTGTGGCATGTTCCTGCAGGCTTTTTCCTGTAAACATAGCCTTTTCAGAGAAAACACAGTGTTTACATTACAGCCTAGGGACAACTACATTGGCCCCACCTCAGATGGGCACCAGGGGTGATTCATGGGGCGGTGCTGCACAGTGTGCTGCGCTAACATTCAGCTACACTGAACATTCCCATAGAGATGCATTGATTTAATTCATCTCTATGAGGAGATGCTGATTGGCCAGCACCCTTGTCCTGCCTCCTTGGCAATCTCAGCCAATCCAATGCTTTCCTATGGGATAATTAATTCTGATTATGTCAGCCAAGAGGGTGGATCGGGGGCGGGCCAAATGTCGGTGCTGAAAATAAGGTGAGTTTTTATTCTATTTAAGAGGAGCAAGGGGGGGCAGAAGGCTATATAGTGTTTTTAACACTTTAAAGTCAGGAATACATGTTTGTGTTCCTTTAAGCAGTAAGAGGTCTTCCCTTTATGGGGAATAAAAATAACTTAATCATTGCAGTGAAATGATTTATGCAACGCAATGACGGGCTTGGACACAAATTCTCACAATGTGCCTTTTTAATAACATAATATTATTTTCACTACGAATAAAGGTGTTTAGTTTCAATTTTATGAATATTATATAGATTACTTTATTTTGTTGTACAAATATATGCAACTTTGTAATTGTAGTGGTTATTGTGTCTACATATTGAATTTCACACAATTTGTTTCTTGGTTTTACACGTGTCCTTGATTGATTTTGCACGCAGCACTTTGATTGTAAGTACCCCTACCCTTTTTTTTTCCTATTTGCTCACTATACATACTGTTGATGTTGTTGTTTTGTGCTACCTTGAAAAGGCTCCTTTGAGAGCAAAAATGTTGTAAGTTTTTCCAACTTGCCATTGCATTAGAGCGACCTTTCTCCCATTTTGGGCCCAGTACGTTCTACTGTTGTATTTAATGCTATGCTGAAGACATTGCTTCAAATTCTTAGTGAGCCATAAAAAGTAAATGTGTCTACTACAATGAAAAAAATAACATTTAAAATATAATCACATCAAAATTAGGAGAGCAATGCATAATTAAAGGACCACTATAGTGCCAGGAAAACATACTCGTTTTCCTGGCACTATAGTGCCCTGAGGGTGCCCCCACCCTCAGGGTCCCCCTCCCGCCGGGCTCTGGGGAGAGGAAAGGGGTTAGAACTTACCTTTCTCCAGCGCCGGGCGGGGAGCTCTCCGCCTCCGATCCTCCTCCTCTCCTCCCTTTCTGCTGAATGCGCACGCGCGGCAAGAGCATTACAATGCTTTCCTATGGACGCTTGCGTGTTCTCACTGTGATTTTCACAGTGAGAATCACGCAAGCGCCTCTAGCGGATGTCAATGAGACAGCCACTAGAGGATTTGAGGGCTGAATTAACCCATTTATAAACATAGCAGTTTCTATGAAACTGCTATGTTTATAAAAAAAATGGGTTAACCCTAGCTGGACCAGGCACCCAGTCCACTTCATTAAGCTGAAGTGGTCTGGGTGCCTAGAGTGGTCCTTTAACTTCACTGGGATGATGAATGGTTATATTTTTAACAGTTCCTGCACATCAGCATTTATGAGAAGGTAGAGAAAGGATCTCTCTTTCTCTCTCTCCTATATAAACAGTGTGGACACTAGGTACCATAAGCAGCTTTTCTTAAACCATACATGTGTATAAGTGCATTGGAAAGTCCATGGCATGCCTGTCATAGCTGAATTTATACTTGCCGATGACTAGTAGGTGAGTGGAAGTCCTGCTTGAGTCCCACTCTAAACACCAAGACCACGCCAGTTATTAAAGTAGTGCCTGGCGTCTGTATGTGCGGCATATCATTATGAAACCTGCACATACAGAGACTAACCTCTTAGCAAGGTTCCAGGCTGCCCAATGTCAAATAATGCTGTGGAAAAGTGGTGTCTGATGCCAGCGCGTACCGCTGGTTTTTGGTTGGAGTAGCCCTTTAAGCAACCAACATAGTTTTGTTTTATCGGAGTTGTGTTAATGTGCCAATCCACTTATCATCGATATTCACCTACTTTGCTACAAGAGGTGCTCACTCTCCTGTGAGATCTTGCCCATTACCCAGACATATTCTACCCACATGACATAATCAAGAAAATGACTTTAGAACACAGTCCCCATTGTTCGGACATAATAAAACAGATAGAAAATAATATTCTGTCATTTTACTTAATCATGTCCCCCAAAAGCTGGTGTGAATTGTGAGGAATTCCAAGTGAATTCAGATTGAATATCAGATTTTAGGCCAGGGATAAGTAGCCTTCGGCACTCCAGATGTTGTGGACTACATGTTCCAGGATGCTTTGCCAGCATTGTGGCTGTAAGAGGATTGTGGGAGATGTAGTCCAAAACATCTGGAGTGCCGAAGGTGGCCTATCCCTGTTTTTGGCCAATATATCATGTGAGCATAGCTGACCTGAAGAATTTTTCCAATTCAGCTATTTTGGCCTAAAATTTTAAATTCACTTTGATTTTCCCATAATTCACACCTCTTGAATATCTGCATATGGTGGACCAGGGCCGGACTGGGAACTTAAAGCAGCCCTGGAAAAAAATTATTTACCAGCCCAATAATGCGTTGTGCCTGCATAGTGTGCTGATACAGAGTTAGAAAAAGATAACTTAAAATTAAAAATGATTACTCCAACGTAAAAAAAAGCACTCATAGGCTTCAAAATAAACAAAAGTGCAGATTTATTTTAAGCAGCCGGGCCTTTGCATGGTTCAGTCCAACTATCTTGACTGAAAGTTTGGTAATGGGACTGAAATGGTGAATGTATGTATTGCACAGTTGTACAAAATGACGTTATCTTGTTTATTTTGAAGTCCTCTGGGTGCGCTCTTCACTTTAAATAAGTTTTATATATATATAGCTCCTGTATGTGTCTATTTCTATCTCCAGCCCCGCTGTGTGTCTCTTTGTCTCCCCCCAGTCCCTCTGTATGTTTCTTTCTCCCCCTCTCAGCTACTCTGTGTCCATGTCTCCTCTCCTTCCCAGTCTCTCTCTTCCCCCTCTGTCTCCTTTTCTCCCCCATGTCTCTCTCTCTTCCACCTGTTTCTTTCTCCCCCCTCCCCTGTGTGTCTCTCTGCCCCTCTGCCTCTTTCTCCACCTAACCCTGTGGGGCTCTCTCCTTTCCCCCCTTCCCCCTGTGTGTCTCTCCCTCTGTGTCACTCTCTTCTCCTGTGTCTCTCTCTCCCTCACATCTCTCTTTCCCTCTGTATCTTTCACCCCTCTCCACCATCTCTCTATCCCCCCTCTTTCTCCCCTCTTCTGTCTCACTCTTCCCCTCTGTCTATTTCTCCCCCCTTTCCCTATGTCACTCTCTCTCCCCCCTCTGTCTCTTTCCTTCCCCTCCCCCTGTGTCTCTCTCTATTCTCCCACTGTCTCTTTCTCCCCCCTCCCATCTATAAAAAGAAGTCAGAGGGGGCTGGCAGCATTCCACACCGGTGCCGCCGGGCTGGGTGGCCGCCTAGCCAGTCTGGCGGGTGACACACTCACTAATGCTGACAGCAGTGAGCTGTCAGCATAGGAGGACTGAAGGAGGGAGCATGTCTCTCTATCATACTCCCTCGCTGTGCTGGGAATTGTGGGAATTGGCTAGGCAGCCACAGGGCCCAGCGGCACCATCGTGGAACGCGGCAGTCCCCCTCAGAGTGTGCCACCGGACCAGCCACCCGGTGGCTCCTACATACGTAGCCCCCAGGTGCCACGGCCCACCAGGAAATTTCCCGGTATCCTGGTGGGCTAGTTTGGCAATGTGGTGGACTCTGTACTTTTGATGATTATGAAGCACCATAAATAATTTGCATCAAACCAGTGCACTGCAGAAGTAGGGAAAGTTAATGCCAGCAAGCTGTGCTTGAAGAATGGAAGGCTGGGTTTTCACAATGTTTGTTTAGTTACCAATAGGCGAGTTACAGAGGGTGTACCCGGTTTTATTAGGAACACAGTGAGGAGATTATTTATTCTGTGAGTTTAGTTATTACAAGTACAAAAATAAATCAATAATACAATCTTTCAGTTTAACACTATCTCTAGACTCTCTGTACAAGGAACTACGGTCTCGATTTAATATTTTTCAATAAGCTTTTCAAATGATCGCAATTCGCAATCTTTTAGAAATACATTTCCACTAATATATCTAAGGACTTTCCCTTAGGCTTTAACGGTGACCTCTGAAGATGATAAATCATTTCAAAGGTTTTTCTCACAAATTGTGATTATATGAAAAGCATATCCAAAAATATTAAACCAAGGCATTAAGTTGAAGACTTCCTGGTGCCTTCAAATGGACACTAAAGTGCTAGGTATACAAAACGGTATTCCTAACACTATAGTGTTATAGTGTCCTTCTGCCCCCCCCCTCCTCCCTTGTGCATTTTATACATAGTGCTGTCCAAGGATTAAATGCTGCCCACCTCTCACCCAAGCCACGCCCAAAAAAGCACACCCCATCCATTATATTATGCGGTGTGTGTAGTGTATAGTGAATGTAGGGTCTGCATTTGTGTAGTGGATGCAGTTTGTGTATCCTATGCAATGTCTGTAGTGCATACAGTGTGTGTGTGTGTGTGTATAGTGGTTGCAGAGTGTGTGTTTGTGTAGTCGATGCAGTGTGTGTAGTGGATGTAATGTCTATGTTTGTGTAGCGGATGTTTTATGTATGTGTGTGTGCATGTGTAGTGGGTGCAGAGTATGTGTTTGTGTAGTTGATGCAGTGTGTGTAGTGAATGTAATGTCTGTGTTTGTGTAGTGGATGCAGTGTGTGCAGTGGATACAGTGTCTCGAGTGTAGTGCATGTAGTGTGTGTAGTGGATGCCGTGTCTGTGTTTGTGTAGTGGATGAAGTGTCAGTGTTTGTCAAGAGGATGCAGTGTGTGTGTGTGTAGCGGATACAGTGTCTATGTGTTTAGTGCATGTAGTGTGTGTGTAGTGGATGCAGTGTATGTATTTGTGTACTTTATGTAGTCTCAGTTTTTGTGTAGTGGATTTAGTGTGTGTAGTGGATACAGTGTCTATGTTTGTGTAGTGCATGTGTGTGTGTTTGTGGTGTTGTATTACGTTTATTATTTTAGATATTTTAAATTATTCTATAATATACTTTATGGCATTATTTAAGGTGGGAATTAACTGAAGTTTGACTGATACAAAGTTTACAAACTAGACTATTTAAACATACATACTTTCTTCTGAAAATATATGTTTAGTATAGACTGATACCATTGGCAAATTCCAATGTTTGTATTAATATTGTCACCTTTTTCCTCTGTGTCATTGAGATAAGAACACATAGAGAGATACTCTTATCTGGCAATACAAATAAGGACCTAGACTCTGTAAGACCACAGACATTGTTAAAATGCATACTGGAAATATGTGTATACATATATATGTGAAATTATGGGAAAGTACATTAAAAATGGGACAGGAACATTATATGATAACTTCTCTACTTCTAAGAATTTTCACAAGTTTTATAATTTTTCAAAAAGTGTTTTACACTAAAATCAAAACAAAAGTGTAACAGTTATTTAAATATTATATGCAATTAGTACAAGTGCTGGATAAGTGCAGGGGGTGAGGGTAAGCAGTTTAAAAAAAAAAAAAATGATTGAACTTATACCCCCTCCCTGCCTCTCTCGTGTGGCTAGGAAGGTGGGACACTAGATACCCTGGTGGATCGGTGGCACAGAATGCTTGGGCAATGAAGATAGAGGGCACAAGCCCTGACAAAGACCCATGTATGGGTTGAAACGCTGCTATTTCTATATTGTTCTAATAAAACTCTGTTTTAAACAACTGTGAATGCCTGTACCACACTACTTTTCACCAGTGTACAGAGGTGGCATGCCACATGGGGCCATAGCCTCATCAGAGCCCATGCATGGGCCAGCCCTGATTTTATAGCTTTTGGTCTAAATAATTTGCTATATTATTTTTAGTATTACGCTCAATTTTGTGTTGGTTTTCTGCATATTAACCCTTCCTCCTTTATCCCACCTACTCAATTCTGAAATACTTCTTCTTTGCTGGTTAACATACAGATTCCTTTCTGTCTGTTCCTCCTAACCTGCAGTGCCCATTAGCACATATACACATGTCATCAAAAAACAAAGCAAAGGTTTGTATACCTCCCAACATCAGCAGTCCCAGAATCTGGATGCCGGTGGGGGTGTACAGGGCGGGTCACCAAGATACTAAGGCAGAACAGTGGCACAGATCCTGGAATTCGGGACTGTCACGATGAAATTTGGGAATTTTAAGAGGCATAAGTTGTAGCTTATCTAGCAGAATTCATATGTTAAAACTAATTACTAGGGGGGTGGGGCCAGACAGCCAAGATGGCCAGTCGCACACTCTAGGAGCTCCTGCAACGACAGGCAAAAGAGAGCTGCTACCAAGCGATCCAAGAGAGCCAGCGGCAAACGGTGTCTGGGTACAAGCACAGCACGACATGAGTAACTGAATGGTACCGGCACCGGTGCGCTGCAGAAAAACCTGTTCCGGCCATGCGGCCTAAACCAGAGAGAAGCCTGGGGCCCGGGGAAAGCACCGATCTCCCGGAACGGGACGAGCTCCCAAGCGAGAGCAAGCTACAGCCCTGCTACCCCCCCTCTGGACCGGCGGGGGATATCCCGGTCCTCGCAGGGGACGAATAGACCCGCAAATCTAACTGCCCAGGTGACACAATCTCTGTCCAAACGAGACCATCAGGGCCCAGCTAAAATGGTGGCGCAGACGCCGAACAAAACAAGGCGCACGATTTTCAAGCCACCTAAACACACACTGGTGTTCTTCGACCAGCTCTGCTCGTACCTCTGGACGAAGTGTGGGGCCAGGAGACAGCACTTCAAACTGGCGGTGAAAGCGGTGACGGCGTGGATCCGCCCGACAGTCCGACGCTGCCTACGGGGATATCTCCCATGGGGCTCCAGAACAGCCTCCCGACAGCAACGAAGCCAGGGAGCAGAATGGTGGGAGAAGGCGCAAAGTCCCTCGGACAACAGTTCACACGCCCTCACGCTCCAGAGCGGGACCTACCGGAATGCCCGACCTGCCCACCGTCCAGCAGTCCCAGCATCAGTCGCCCTGCAAAGCACATCACAACATGGAGGTACTGGCAGGGCCCACAGCGACATTAAGCACACTGCAGCAGGGCCGTGGACCGATGGACGCAACCAGCGGAGAGCCTTTCTACCACCACCCAGAGTGAGAGCACGGAGGGGGCAACTGTCATGCTGCAACAGCAAAGTCACCATTACCTCTCCGAGCAAGCGGGCTGCCACCGGGCAGGACTCTCCCAAGCTGGACAATTCTATACACCCGGTGGGCATAGGCTGAAAGGGACGTCCTAAAAAGAGAGTGGTGCTGGACTCTGGCCTCTACAATACACACCCCAAGGGACATTGTCACAGCTGGTAAAGACCTGCAGCTCAGGTTACCCACCTTGCAGTAGGCACCTTTATACAGAATCTTGGTTGCCACCAGACGCCACCTCTAAGCATTGTCTCCCCAACATGAGCGATCGTCTTATTTAGCTTACATTTCTGTGTTCCACATTTAGTTAATTTTCTTTGTTTTGCAGAACTGAGACACTCGTGATTTAATATGCCTTTATTAAACTTACATCTAGCATAGCACACTCAAAACTACATTAACTGCATAACCATGTGTAGCCAGACACTGGGAAGTGTTTAGCCCTGTTTATCCCAGTTCCATACAGCCTTGTCCTAGCCTTGTCCTAGCCTGATCGTTACTCCCATTGTCAACTGAGTTATTTTATGTTATAGATGAGATTTAGCAAGGATAACACATACTTATTCGTATAGAAAGACATGTAATCTTACATAGGATAAATGTCTGATTATTTAGACCAGATGTCACTGTATAGAATGCATGTCCCTCTCTCAAGCATAGATAAGCACAGCTGAGCTTAACTAAACCAACATCGAGACACTAAAACGATGACACTCGCCATGAACACTCATCTTAAGCCACTGAGTTAAACGTGTTTATAATTTATAATTGCACTGCACACTCAAATTTAAGAGAATTTTACCACGCATGACAAGTTATCACCTAACCTTTTTTTTTTGTCCACCCTGTACCACATTATGCTAAGACATTTATGTATATCCTGATATTTTAACACAAAAAGTGTGCAATGCCTTCAATGCCATATTGTTGTCCTTATGTGTGTAACGTTCAGTTTGCTCCTGTTGTTGTGGCAAAGCAAACTCATCTGTTAATCATATGCACAAATAAAATAAAGAATTAAAAAACAAAACAACTAATTACTAAACTACAACTCCCATAAACCCCTGGTCAGAATTGAGGCTGTGCGCTGAGAACCAACTCCCCCACCTCTCCCACACACACTAATAGACAAAGACAGTGTGATATGCACAGGTGTAATTTAGTATGAGTAGTCACCCGCTCCCCTAACACATTCTCTCCCCCAATCTCAGAATAGCCAAACCCGGTCTGGTTCTGTTATCTTTCATCGACCTTTGTAAAGGCATGAAGTCAAACCAGGCCCACAAGTTCCAGAACCTGTTTTTGATCCTAAGGAAAACCGTGATCGACCGGGAGATTTCAACAGAATGTCTTCCCCGAGGGCATTCCTCATTGGAGTATATATGGTTGCATGATTATAAAATGTAACAAAATGGATACCTTTCATTGGCTGGCCACTTTTGCAACCTAAATGGACAATTTACAGCCCAAATAATAATTACATTTAGAAATAAACAAATTACTGTTTAGTAGATATATCCCCAATGAAAACATGCCTACATTTAATTATGCATTTTTTTCATTGGGGTATACCTAACAGCGTGCAAAAGTTGCAGATCTCGTCTGCTGCCTTTGCTAGCCCTCCCCTTCTAACCCACGCCTAGACTTTCTGTTGCTGTCCAATCACTGACTTCCCAATGCATTGAGAAGCCTGTGCAAGGCAGGTGATCTGAGCAATTGCTGCCTCTTGAGTTTAGCTCCACTGAGCTAACCAAACCAGGAAGTATCAGTACATATCATCTGATTCCAATCCATAGGGTGTAACAAGATTAATTTATACAAGTGCCAATTTATACTTAAATCTGAAGAATAAAAAAAAAGGGGACACACTTTTCACACTTAAAGCACTTTAGCAAGCTAAGTGCTTTAGGGGGCCAGAATATCCCTTTACGCTAAACATCCAAATTACTAAACATAAGCTACACCTTAATATTTGACGTAATAACAATTAATGATGGAAATATCCAATTATCAAATTATTATAATAATTATTATTATTATTTGCATTTATTAAGCACCAACTTATTCTGCAGCGCTCCACAGTATTAAATAATAAATGAATGCAATTTAACAATAAACGAGACAGTTACAAAATCTAGAGGAATCAATTTAACCACAAATCCTCTTATGCCAGGTATCTTTCAACACAAGCTCCATGCGCTCCATACTCCAGGTAAATGATCACACTGCCCAGAATCATTTCTGTCATTACCTGATAATGAAGCATTGAAAGAAACCCAAGTGGATCTAACGAGAGCGCAGTCAGTTCTCCTTGCACAGTATTATTTTACTATTGTTCAAAAAACCAGATGCCCCCATTTATTCTCCATTTTTTTTTTATTTCTTCACCACCAGACTTTTTCAACTCTCTGTATTCTTCACGCCACATTCTATTCTTCACTCATATCCCATCTATTCCCATCCCACACCATTCTATTCTTCTATATCCAAGAAATATATCTGAGGCCTCCACTGTGTGTGTCTTCCTTAGGTCTGTATACTACATTAAAGCAAATGAGTCAATGAGCCTGGGGTTACATGAATAATTTCTATAAGTACACAAATTGTACAACAGGGGAATCATGGCTGCAATGCACAAGACAAAAAAAAAAAAAGACAAAATTATTGTAGTGTGTCTTTAAAGATGAACACTAAGTACCATAACCACTACAGCTCATTGGAGTGACTATGGTGCAAAGAGTCTTTGGCTGCTGTGTCCCCTACTTATGTCACATCATTTTTTAAACAGGTTGAAAAAGCTGGTGCTCCAACAGCCTGTCTCTTACGCAAAAAATGACAAGAAAAATGGCAATTCCTAGATACCAGGGTTTGATAGTTACATAAAATCAAAACATACAATTTGTTTGGGTGTAACTGTCTAGTTTAAACTATAAATATAATTATATAAAATTATTTCAGATCTATTTTTATTCTCTTTGTTTTCAATAAACTAATACATTTGTGCTAATAACTTTGCATGTTTGGTATATAAATTCTCAGAACATTAAAAAATATATTTTTTTAATTAACTTAGCACAGTCTGATTTTGCACGTTGAGATTAAAAACGATTGCAGTATACATGACTGTTGCTAACCTTTTTCATGTGATCCTTAACTTTCTTTTAATTTTATATTATTAATATTTATTGTTATTTATATTAAGACTTAGCAAATGACATCACAATCCAATCCAGTCCAGGCACAGCCAAGGCACAAAATGCAAATGAGAAGGTAAAAGAAAACCACTGTCTCGGTTCTCTTATCTGTAAGCTTTCTCTATGCTGACTGACAAGTATAAATAAAAAAGCTTATAACAATGACTGACAGGTAGCCAAAATGGAGCACCCAGTTCCAGGAAAAAGTGGTCATTTTCTACATTTTATTCAATTTTCTACAATTTGCAATTACATGTTATATAGAGGATTATATAGGTATAGCGCATGGGTCCTCAAACTCTGGCCCCCCAGATGTTGCTGAACTACAACTCCCATGATTCTCTGGCTATCTATGTAATTCAAAGAATCATGGGAGTTGTAGTTCAGCAACATCTGGGGGGCCGGAGTTTGAGGACCAATGGTACAGCGGATATATAGTGATGATATGGAGGATAAATAAACTGTATTGGTGGGTTGCACATTCACAACACAGATTCAAAAGGAAAATCCCTAAATACTGTGTCAATTCCCCAAATGTTGCTACATATAGATATATATGATACATATCTTTATAGGATGTGACTATTTCATGATGCTACAATATGCATATCATGCAACATTATGAAGTGGTTATGGTCCTTTGATTCTAACCCTACAGTTTTAAGATTACATTTCATTGAACTGTGACAAAACAGGGACTTTCACACTAAAGTAAAGTAACGCTAAGGCAGTTCAGGACTCATGACAGTTCCTGGATAAATGCACAGAACACGTCGCAAATAAATAAATGAGTCATGAGAAAAAAAGATAAGCACTTGAGGATTGTGATTAATACATATAAAGATATTGCTTTAGTCTCTTTAAGTATTGTGTAATCCTGGAGATACCTTGTATACGTTTGTCTTTGAAGGGTGTAACCTCATATTGACCATGTAATCTAACAAGCTAGCCAGCTGTAATTCTAATGGCTCTAATTATTTCCTTATTTTGGAATTAAAAAAAACTAATTTTAAAAGCAAAAAAAACAACAACCAATTAGTGGATTAAAATATGAAGAGAAACTATTTTTTTCAAAACTTGTGTGTCTGCTTATTCCACACTGAAAAAATACTTAATATCATTTCTCCCTGTTGTAAATTGTAGACTCCGGATTTACTCGGTTGAATTTACTTGGTTGAACTGGTCACTGGCGGGTCAAACTATCATTATTTTCTTTAAGTCTGTAAAGTAGGATAACACTGAATTTAAAACGCTATTGAGTTTAGGTAGCCCACAAATTTGTATTGTTCTTCAGTTTTAGATAAACGTAAAGAAGTACTTAGTTATATTTAACATTGCATAATTCTACTTTTCTTTTTGTTGTCAAAATAATAATGGAAACTTTGAATGAAGAGTGTCAAAAAAAATAAAAAGCATATTTCAAAGCTATCCTAAATTTTGAGCAGCCATCTTGAATTCAGGCTCGTGTTCCTCCATTCCAGGTTAGTTTCCCAATGTCCTGAATATGCAGCCACCAGAGATTTATCCACGAACAATGGAGGTTGTTCTCCACTGAGTAAACACAGGGCCTTCAGCCCATTCTTAGTATGCATCAATAGTGCTCTGAGCATAGGCAGATGGGTTGGCCTGAGTAGCCGCCTGAAATGGTAGCCACTCAGGTCTACAGCTCATCTATAGACATGATTCTAGAATATCACAGTGCATATGTTGTATATCACATCAGTAAGTATACTATGATTTGTCAGCCACAGACGATTTAAAGGGGAACATTCACATGGGAAATGTTTGCGCAATAATGGGTTTCGGTATTTTTTTTTTTTTTAAATACCACTAGTTTTATTATTTTTCATTTACATGCACTGTTCTGCATGGCTTGTAAATGTGATTAACCTCTGCATTGCATTATGCGTCGTGCTTGTGGGCTTATCGCTCTATTGAAGGAATACCCAGGAGTGAACTTCTTGAACGGCATTTCTCTGTAGATGACCGGGCACACATAAGTGTGCTGAAATCGTCTTGGGGCAACAAAGGCCCCAGAACTCTGAAGTACAGAAGACATAGGGATGTTTTTTTTTACTTATCAAGCTACATTATTCTTTCCGATAAACAGTTAAATAGTAGTTACTATGGTGAGGTATCTGTGACTTTACATCTCTAGTCAGCCCTGGATGTGGTAAATATGGCCTATATAGGGACAGAGGTTTGAATAAGGAGATAGTGCTTGAGCAGTTGCCATGTCATCATCCTATTTGACCTGCAGGATGGAAAATAACACATGAACCAGGTCTAAACATGCATACACGTCTATCATGGCTATGTATCTGTGCACTGTCAGGGATACGTGTTTGCCAACATTCTAAACACAAACACTCTAAACAAATTAAAGGCTATTGTGAGACCTCACGCAACCTGCTTTTACTCACATTCAGCCAATGAGGAGGGGCAGAAAGCACACAGTGGCAAAATAACTTTCCGTGATTCTTCATGCTGTGACATAGGACGTATTTTAATATTTGCAAAACACCTTTGGGAACAAGACATTTTAAGACTATACAAACAACAGTTTTAAAATAGACTTTTCCATTCAGAATTATTAACAGACGTGGAAGAAAATCCAAATTTTTCTCTCTATGCCACGTATTTTACAATCTCCTGGTTTCAGGGTGAATAGTAGACCGTCAGAGTCCCACAGTATAGATCAGTGGTTCTTAACCTTTTTTGACAAGTACCTAAATTATATACACATTATGCTGGCATTAGCTTGTTCACCCATTCTTTAATTTACAAGTTAACTTGGTAAACAATTCTTCCAATTCCAATGTAATTTAGTATATAAAATGCATTCTGCTCAGAAAGTAGACAGACTTAAAGGAACACTCTAGAGTCAGGAACACAAACATGCATTCCTGACCCTATAGTGTTAAAACCACCATTTAGGTGGCTTGCTCCACCTTTCACCCTAAAAAGGTAATAACACGTACCTAATTTTAAACGGCATGAAGGTGCAGGCCCCGCCGGCGCAGGCCCCGTCCCCGTTCCTCCTCCTTGGTTGACATGATCAGAATTGATGATTTCAGCCTATCCAATGCTTTCCCATATCAGCAAGGAGGCGGGATGGGGGCATTACCAAATGCCAGCTTGGCCAATCAGCAGCTACTCATTTATTGAATAAATGTATCTCTATGAGGAAAGTACAGCGTCTCTAGTGAAGAGCAGTGCTACACACACTGTGCAGCACTGACCCAGTAAGCACCTCCTGTGGCCATTCGAGGAGTGGCCATGGGAGGTGTCCCTAGGGGGCAATATAAACACTGCCTTTTACTTTAAAATGCTGACTGACGATTAAGCTGTAGTTGTTCTGGTGACTATAATGTTCCTTTAAAGCAAATGCCTCCAAGACTAAATGCCTCCAACACTAAAGCCATAGGACTTGCTAGGCGGCATGCAATGTTTCATTTTTAATCTCTCGTTCCCTAGATTTACTAGATTTAACAGAAAAATGTCTCTGACCCCTCTGACACTGCTACTCCTGCATCTTTATCCTTTGGTGGTCTTTAACTTACCCACAACCCAAGACACTCTGAATGTAAAGGTAGTGGTGTAGGGTTTCTCCTCTCACCTCACTGCTCCTTCAAACCTCTACCCATCACTCACCCCCTTCTCTCTCTTTCCCATCATTTCAAATTCATTCGATTCGCCTTCAAACCCTTTTCTGCTAACATTGCCGTTATTTATCATCCCCTGGTTCCTCTTCCTTGACCACTTTGCTGCCTGGCTACCCTGCTTCCTCTCTTCTAATATTCCATCCCTAATTCTCTGGGACTTCAATATTCCCATTAACCCACCTTTGACCTCAGCAGCCTCTAAACTACTTTCAATTACTTCCTCCCTCTGGTTATCGCAGTGGGCTAATTCTCCCACCCATGTACCTGGCAATACCCTCAACCTCATTTTCTCTTATGCATGTACAGTATCTAATATCTGCAACACTCCATTTTCTCTCTTTGATCACCACCTCTTATCATTTGCTCTCAAGTACCCTCTCACCCAACAACCTCAGCCTAACCACAATCAACTCAGGAGGAACCTTAATTCTATTGACCTCCAGCAACTGTCAGCTGATATTGATTCACAACTGCTATCCAGCTCCAAACACGCACTTTCCACTCTCATTAGTTCATGCTCCCGCCATACCAGGCATCTCTTTGACACCTTTAACTCTCTTCTTCGCCCTGCTGTGGCCACCCCCCAAACTAACCTTACAGCCGATAGCTTTGCATGCTACTTTACCTACAAGATTGAACAGCTAAGGAAAGAATTCTCCCCACCTTGCTGTTCTTTTTCTAAACCACACGAGAGGTGGCTGCGCTTCTCCTTTCCTCTCACCCCACCACTTGCCCGCTCGATCCTGTCCCATCTCACCTTATCAGATCTCTCTCCCCCTCTCTTGTGCCTTCCTTAACACACATCTTCAACTGCTCTATCTCTCTTCTGGCGTTGTCCCTGCTGACCTTAAACATGCCACTGTAGTACCTTTCCTGAAAAAACATCTCTTGACACGTACTCCTCCTCTAACTATTGTCCCATATCCATGCTCCCTTTTTCATCAAAGCTTCTGTAAAGACTTGTCTTTCACGTATGTCTTACTTCCTCAGTTCCAACTCTCACCTTGACCCTCTTCAATCTGGCTTCCGCCCTCTCCAATCTACTGAGACTGCTCTTATCAAAGTTACTAATGACCTAATTGCAGCTAAATCCAAAGGCCACTACTCAAAATAATTATTGTTGACCTCTCTGCTGCCTTTGACACCATTGATCATGCTCTCCTTCTTCAAACTCTTCAATCACATGGTCTCTGTGACTCTGTCCTCTTGTGGTTTTCCTCTTATCTCTCCCAACGCTCATTCAGTGTCTCCTTTTCTAATGATACCTCCTCCCCTCGTCCTGTCTCGGTTGGAGTCTTCCAAGGCTCTGTCCTTGGTCCCCTTCTATTTCTCTTTATACTGCCTCTCTTGGCAAACTTATTACCTCATTTGGGTTCCACTACCACCTGTATGCTGATGACACCCAGATATATCTCTCCTCCCTGGCCCTCTCCTCTGCCATCCTGCAACATGTCACTGCTTGCCTTTCTTCCACTTCTGACTGGATGTCCTCCCACTTTCTGAAACTCAATCTCTCTAAAACTGAGCTCCTTATCTTTCCTCCTCCTAATACTAATCCTCCTCTTTGGCTCTCCCTTCAAGTTAGTGGTAACCACATAAGTCCATCCTTGCAAGTGCTCTGTCTTGGCGTCATACTTGATTCTGGCCTCACCTTTGAGCTTCACATCCAGTATGTTGCATCCACCCTTTTCTTACGCAAGATGCTACCAAGGAGCTTGTCCATGCTCTAGTAATTTCCTGCATGGATTATTGTAACCCTCTCCTAATTGGTCTTCCCAAAAGCCGTATTGCCCCGCTACAGTCTGTAATGAATGCTGCCGCAAGACTGATTTTCCTCTGTAGTAGGTCGTCTCACACCTCACACCTCTGTCAGTCCTTATATTGTCTTCCTGTATCCAATAGGAGTCAATTCAAAGTGCTAGCCCATACCTATAAAGCACTGAACAATTCTAGCCCCTCTTATATCTCTTCACAGGTCCATAGGTATGCCCGTTCTCAGTCTCTCTGCTCTGCCCGTGACCTTCTCTTGTCTGCTGCTCACACCCGTACAGCGAACTCACGCTTGCAGGACTTCTCACAGGTGGCTCCCTTCCTGTGGAATAGCCTTCCTACCGCCATCAGACTCTCCCCTTGTCTTCAACTGTTTAAGTAGTGCCTTAAAACCCATCTCTTTAGGAAAGCTTATGGCCTCCCAGAGTAACCTCTACCTCACATGCCTGTCTCTTGCTCTCTCCTAAAGGGCAGCACTTTACTCTCACTCCCACCTAATTTGATTGCTATTTCCTGTCCTAATGTGTTTTATACCCCCCTCCTATAGACTGTAAGCTCGTTTGAGCAGGGTCCTCTTCAACCTATCGTTCCTGTAAGTTTTCTTGTAATTGTCCTATTTATGGTTAAATCCCCCCCTCTCATAATATTGTAAAGCGCTATGGAATCTGTTGACGCTATATTAATGGCGATATTAATAATAATCATGGTCTGTGTTACGTTGGTTATTGTTCTCAATTATTACACAAAGTCTCTCAGAACGAAACACTGGGAGTTTTTTTTCTAAACCTTGTGCATGGTTAACCAATCAGAATGTAGAAATCAGTTAGATGTGGGTGACATATTTATGAAGACTCAATCCTTTGGATAGATAATAACAGGGCAATTTACTAACAGCATGGAGCACACAAAAGTTGCTTGCTCAGAAAATGTAATGGTATTTAGAGTCAGTTGTTTTTCTGTGCTGCTCTATTTCCACCAAAACTGCAATCACAGTTTCTTACACACACTTTTCGTTGTTACAAAACAGCAAACAAAGGTAGCATAAAGCTCACCACAATCTCCTATCATTCAGAACATTTGTCAGAGAACTCATTTTTTATACCATTGTGTCCTGCAAGTACAATTTCATACAATTCATAGCTGTCTGATTATATTCACTGCCCTGCGTTGTAGAGCCTTGCTCCATTTGCCACAGGACCCAATATGCTCATAGTGACCTCTTCGTTCTACACTATATATCGCAGCCACTCTGCAAAATGCATAGCAACAGTACTACATTACCGCAGTGAGCAAAATCCATGCATTTTTATGCAAAAATCATGTACACATCTTTCAAAGAATATCTCAAAGCAGGACATGGAGTCCTGAATGACATGTAATTGTAAGACCTTTTCTACCAACTCTATAAATAGCAAGTAAAGTCCACACCATCCCTGTGGAAATGTAAAAAAGCACAGAAAAAAAACAAATTCTGTGCATTTTACTACTTGCACTACATTGACGTGCACATGTTATCATTACACAAATTAAAGGGGCTCTTTCATTTTATGGATCACTCGGCTTAGAACGGAGAGATCTGTTCCTCCGTACCATCTAATGACCCTCAACCCTCTGGAATGCACGCTCTGTGTGCAGCACCTTTAAATCTACTTCCATCCATGACCTATTTATCTCACACTCCCTAAACATACTTGCACTAACAGAAACATGGCTCTCTCCCTCTGATACTGCTACACCTGCCTCACTGTCTTTTGGTGGTCTTCACTTTACCCACAACCCAAGACAAGCAGAGATTAAAGGTGGCGGTGTAGGTTTTCTTCTCTCACCCCACTGCACCTTTAAAACCCTGTCTACCCCCCCTTCCCTCTCTTTCCCATCATTTGAAATTCATTCAATTCGCCTTTTCAAACCCTTCTCTGCTAACATTGCCGTAATCTATCGTCCCCCTGGTTCCCCTCTCCTCTTCCTTGACCACTTTGCTGCCTGGCTACCCTACTTCCTCTCTTCCAACATCCCATCCCTAATTCTTGGAGACTTCAATATTCCCGTTAACCCACCTTTGACCCCAGCAGCCTCTAAACTACTTTCTATCACTTCCTCCCTTGGACTTTTGCAGTGGGCTAATTCTCCCACTCATGTAGCTGGCAATACCCTCGACCTTATTTTCTCTTCTTCATGTACAATATCTAATATCTGCAACACCCCATTTCCTCTCTCTGATCACCACCTCTTATCATTTGCTCTCAATTACCCCCTCACCCAACAATCTCAGCCTAACCCCCCTCAGCTCAGGAGGAACCTTAACTCTATTGACCTCAAGCAGCTGTCAGCTGACATTGATTCACAACTGCTATCCATCCCTTCCCTCTCCTGTCCCTCACTGGCCATCTCTACATATAACACTACCCTCACATCTGCCTTGAACGCTGCAGCCCCGCTCAAAACATGCACCTCGAGGAGAACACGACCCCAACCTTGGCATAATAAATCAACACACTATCTGCAGAGTTGCTCCCGTTGTGCTGAACGCTCCTGGAGGAAGTCCCGCACCCAGGCAGACTTTCTCCATTATAGATTCATGTTGCTTTCATACAGCGCAGCCCTCGCCCTCGCCAAACAGTCATACTTTTCCTCTCTCATTAGTTCATGCTCCCGCAATCCCAGACGCCTCTTTGACACCTTTAATTCCCTTCTCCGCCCTGCTGTGGCCACCCCCCAAACTAACCTTACAGCTGATAGCTTTGCATGCTACTTTACCGACAAGATTGAACAGCTAAGGAAACAATTCTCCCCTCCTTGCCGTTCTCTTTCTCAACCACATGTAAATCTTGCTTTCCCTACCCTCCAGACTTTCTACCCGGCTACTGAACAAGAGGTGGCTGCGCTTCTCCATTCCTCTCGCCCCACCACTTGCCCGCTCGATCCTGTCCCATCTCACCTCATCAGATCTCTCTCCCCTTGTCTTGTGCCTACCCTAACACACATCTTTAACTGCTCTCTCTCTTCTGGCACTGTTCCTGCTGACCTTAAACATGCCACTGTAATACCTATCCTGAAAAAACCATCTCTTGACCCATCCTCCCCTTCTAACTATCGTCCCATATCCCTGCTCCCTTTCTCATCAAAGCTTTTGGAAAGGCTTGTCTTTACCCGTGTGTCCCGCTTCCTTAATTCCAACTCTCTCCTTGACCCTCTTCAGTCTGGCTTCCGCCCTCTCCACTCTACTGAGACTGCTCTTATCAAAGTGACTAATGACCTAATCTCCGCTAAATCCAAAGGTCATTACTCCATATTAATTCTCCTTGACCTCTCTGCTGCCTTTGACACCGTTGATCATGCTCTCCTCCTTCAAACTCTTCAATCGCTCGGTCTCTGTGACTCGGTCCTCTCTTGGTTTTCCTCCTATCTCCCAACGCTCATTCAGTGTCTCCTTTTCCAAGGATACCTCCTCCACTCGTCCTGTCTCGGTTGGAGTTCCCCAAGGGTCTGTCCTTGGTCCCCTTCTATTTTCTCTTTATACCACCTCTCTTGGTAAACTGATTGCCTCTTTTGGATTCCACTACCACCTGTACGCTGATGACACTCAGATATACCTCTCCTCCCCGGACCTCTCCCCTGCTGTCCTGCAACGTGTCACTGCTTGCCTTTCTTCCATCTCTGACTGGATGTCTTCACGCTTTCTGAAACTTAACCTCTCTAAAACTGAACTCCTTGTCTTTCCTCCTCCTAATACTGATCCTCCTCTCTCGCTCTCCCTTCAAGTCAGTGATATCCACATAAGTCCATCCCTGCAAGCGCGCTGTCTTGGCGTCATACTTGACTCTGGTCTCACCTTCGAGTCTCACATCCAGTTTGTTGCCAAGTCCTGTAGGTTCCAACTCAAAAACATAGCCCGCATTCGCCCCTTTCTTACGCAAGATGCTACCAAGGAGCTTGTCCATGCTCTAGTAATTTCCCGCATGGATTACTGTAACCCTCTCCTGATTGGTCTTCCCAAAAGCCGTATTGCCCCGCTACAGTCTGTAATGAATGCTGCAGCTAGACTGATTTTCCTCTCTAGTCGGTCCTCTCACACCTCACCCCTCTGCCGGTCCTTACATTGGCTCCTTGTATGCTATAGGAGTCAATTCAAAGTGCTAACACATACATTTAAAGCACTGAACAGTTCTAGCCCCACTTATATCTCTTCACTGATCCATAAATATGCCCCTCCACGTACCCTCCGCTCTGCCCGTGACCACCTCCTGACTGCTGCTCGCACCCGTACGGCCAACTCGCGCTTGCAGGACCTCTCGCGGGCGGCTCCTCTCCTATGGAATAGCTTGCCTACTGCCATCAGACTCTCCCCTAGTCTTCAATCATTTAAGAAGGGCCTTAAAACCCATCTCTTCAGGAAAGCTTATGGCCTCCCAGAGTAATCTCTACCTTACATACCTGTCTCCTGCTCTCTCCTATGGGACAGTGCTTTGCTCTCTCCTCCAGCTCTGCTTCACTCCTACTTGATATTTATTGTCCTAATGTTTCAAATACCCCACCTCCAATAGTCTGTAAGCTCGTTTGAGCAGGGTCCTCTTCAACCTATTGTTCCTGTAAGTTTTCTTGTAATTGTCCTATTTATTGTTACACCCCCCCTCTCAAAATATTGTAAAGCGCTATGGAATCCGTTGGCGCTATATAAATGGCAATAATAATAATAATATTTGGACCCTAGGACCAGCTTAACTTTCCATTTTAGACTATTGTCTGATCCTTCCAAGTCTTCTATCTAGGTACCTCCATCTTCAAATTTCTCAGACGGCAGTGCCCAGAAATAGTTTAATCTGCCCTGATACTCCTTTTTACAAAAGATGTAAACTGATTAATTGCTAATAAAGTTTTAAAATCACAAACAAAACAAATAAATTGACAAGGGCCATATAGTTGACTAAAACTCCAATCTTTGTCAACGTTTGCCAACCCGCTAATTTTACATAAGGAAATGTAGTTCATATTTTACCTTATGTATAACTTGGCAAAAAAAAAAAAAAAACATCTTCTTTTTAAAAAAAACAAAATGGGGCAGATAAGGGATGATTTTCTGCAGCTTATCCACACATTTCGGTTAGGAGCTCTGTGACTCGCTCGTAAACATTTCTTCCATTTTATTGACAATGATTTCTATAACCCCTTAAGGACACATGCCATGTGTGACATGTCATGATTCCCTTTTATTCTAGAAGTTTGGTCCTTAAGGGGTTAATACACTCATACATACATACTTAAAATGACAAGTTCCAAAAAGAAAGGGACCTTGAAGTAGAAACTTAGCACAGATGAATTTGGAATCCAGGGAGGGGATATCCCTTTAAATATGGGACACTAATCAAGTGTGAAGGAAGATGAATTGTTTATAGTAATTTCTCTGTGACATTAAGAAAATAATCTTGCTTTCCTTTCTCTCTTAGTGTTTCCTTTCTCTGGATTAGTGTTTCCAGTATAATCCTGTTGTCAAGTAACCTTTCAACGTACTGTATACCGGAATTCTACCTAATCACAATTGGCCAAATCTCCACTTTAATCTTTAGAAGAATTGCATGACTCAAACAATTTTCTAATGAAGAAGAACGGGGCCGTTATTATACAAATTCCAGCTTCCAGCTTAACTGGTTTCCTTGTTTTTCAATTTTAATCCTTTTTTTCTTTTTTAAATACTCATTAAAGTAAAAACATAAGGATACTGATTATAGTAGGGGAAGGCAATGTTTGCCACACAAGATTTTGTGGACTACATCTCTCTGGTGGTTTACAAGCATTATAAAAGAGCATTATGGGAAATGTAGTCTACAATATCTGGAGTGCCAAATATTGCCTACCTCTGGATTATAGCATCAGCTGTTAAACCAAATTACATTTAGACTAGTTAGTACACAATTTTCCCAGTGTGTGCTGAGAGAGAAAAAAAAATGTGCTTCATTCACTAAAGTGACAACTATTTTTTGGCTTTGCTATTTTGTTCTACAATTTGCAGTTCTTTTGTCAATTCTCCCATATTTCTGTTTAAAAACAAAACAAAATAATTTAATACATCACTAGGCACCATCACTACTTTACATAATTGCAGAGGTGATGGTGCCAAAAGTAGCATGATCCTTAAATTGCATTTTAATTTCATAAACTGTTTTTATAAAGTAACCTAAAACTTCTCATAAGAAACCCACCCCAAGCCATGCCCACACTCACACCCCAATGTCCTTCTTCTGCATTGTTGGGAGGTAAGTATCAGGTTTTAATGGGCAGGTCAGATCACATACACCTCAAAAGATGAGCTGTCTGTCAATGATCATAAAGTTTTATTGACATTTCTGAGTTTATGACAAATGTTTATATACAGTCACATACAAGGGAAGAAGGGATAAGAGAGTCATCCTTATTTAATGACAAAAATAGGAAAAACAACCAAACAAGTCATTTTCTTACAATCGATATAGCAATAGGTAACTTTCTGGTTTTTTTTTTCCCTTTATTTACCAATGAAAGATGGATTTTCCAAGAATTATTGACTCTTTAAATCTCAAGCATTAGAAGTCAAAAGTGGCATCAAAGAAAACTGATAGAAAGTAGGTGAAACTATAATAATTAAACACTTTAAACAAAAATAGGCAAAACATCCAACTCTTTGATGCACTTAAAAATGTTACTCTTTCCTCATTCACAGTAAATCTTTATCTGATGGTAGCTGGAAATGGCAGAGAATTTTAAAAATCCTACATGTTAGCCCTAAGCAAATCTGATAAAACTATGCCTGGTGAGTATTTGTACGAGTATAAAGAGACATTACTTCTCCATGCATTGTCATAGGAAGCCGTATACCTTTTGGCAAATTAATTTATTAATTTGTAAAATGTGAAAGCTCCTGCGCGAAAACAACCGAATGTCCCCCCTGGCTCTTAGGTAGCGAATGATCCTATTATGTCACCAAATATTTTCCCCTAAAGAACTCTCTCCTGGCTTGTCTGTACAGGTTTACCAGGTTCATTCGCGAGTTGTAGTGTACCGCTGCCAGTGTTCGGCAAACAAGAAGAGCACTTGAGTTAACAATCTTCTCTGAAGCCAAGGGGTGGTCTGGAGCTCAGGAGTACAAAAAAGGGGGGCACGAATATCCGTTAGGGAACCGAACAGGGGGTACTTATACATATGAACAAGTGATGGGGTATTCCCTCACACTTGACATAGGACGAAGTAGAGCTAAAACATTAGATGGCTTTTCACTGGAATTATTGCCATGTGCTATTGCTGTACCGTCAGACGTTGGTGAGTGCCGACTGCTAAGTTCGGGTGCCAAAAGGTAATATGTCACTAGCGTTAATGAATACCAGCATCTTCCCTTCTATATAATTTAAAGTTTAATGAATAGTAATTAACTGTTCCCGTAGAGAAAGAAGGAGCCGCTAAGCTGTATTTACTATCTGGTTTCCATGCTAAACGGCACAATTGTTGTTATCTGACTAAAATTGACATCTGCTTCATCTAGGGAAAAATATGAAAAGACAACTGTACAAATGAAAATGTTCTATACAGTCAAGTACAAGCAACACTCTGTGCACCATAACAACTTCATCTCAATTAAGTTGTTATAGAGCTTGGAGGTGCTGGGTACCATCTTAAATCAAACGGTTCAACCAATCACCGGTGCCCAGTCCAAGGTTTCCACACTGAAGCCAGGGACAGAGGTCGAGGAAGATAGGTAGAGAGGACGGGCACCATCTCGATTAATTTGTGGTTAAACAGTTCGTAAACGGTTTAACCCTTTAAGTAAGTCGGCACGCAGTGCCCTCCGGACACACATTGAGATGAAATTGTTTTGGTTTTCGGAGTGTTCCTTTAATGCATAATCCATATACTGATTCAAAAGCCTCAAACCCCATATTGGAGTGTCCCTTTCAGTTTGTGGGAGTCTAAAATGAATAATCTATGACCCAATAACAGTAAGACATTAGGCGATGGGAGATGCAGTCTTTTAAAAGCCATAGAACCTTAAGTTAGTTAGTTCTGCTCCATGCACTCTTACAAAAAAAAAACATATCTTCACAAACGTTACAGAGGTAGCATAGCAGTGCTGCTAAGGCCATTGTGGTAGTGGAAGCGTTAATATGGCCCTACTGCTTTGTCAGCCTGCAGTGTCACTGTTTGTATTTGGACAACAAGACATAGGCAAACAGAGCTTTGGAAAGTGTTAAAACATGTGGCATTACCCAGCCGTTAACAAGCCAGAACTGCTAACAGAATATACCATGTTTTCCATTATGAAGGTATTTACATTGTTACGTTATGAAATAATGTGTATTAGAATCTCATGGAGACCATAGGCTATTGTAGTGATATATATAATGGAAATCTATAATGTTGGCCAAAGTAGTAGGGGGTTGAAAGAAACTGCTTATTTTTACATTTTTTAATACGATCGTAAAGCCACAAGGTTGGCCTAAAACATTCAGATATTTTAACACACACACAATTCCAGGTTTTGTGAATAAACACAAAAGAGTAATAAGCCACACTTACTATTTGTATACAATTTTACTTTAAAGGTACATTGTAAGTATCATAACTACTACATTTTGCTACAGTGGTTATGGTTCCCTTATGTTGTCCCCAGGGTAAGTTGTCAAACTGATTACAGACGGTTTGACACTTACCTGGCTCTGTTGACTGAAAGCGATTTGGCATACCATAATAATTATCCAAAGCCGAAAATAGTTTGAATGCTAATGTTAAAGTATGAATTTCCGCTTCAGCATAGCTGTCCAGGGCTGAAGGATTGTGGGCCGTTTAAACGTAAATAACTTAATTACTTTAGGGTGTGTCAGGGGACTCCTGGCTCCACATTCACTATAAGGAGCGGCAGTTTCAGTTATGGTGCTTAGAGTATCTCTTTCACACTGTGGGTACCTTTCTCGTTAATTTGTGGGAGATGTCGAATGAGTTTCACTAAGCTTATGGCACGTGCAAATATCTTGTGTATATTTCAGACACATGCCTTTGGAGACTGAGATACAGATAAGACATTCCCCTGGGTGCAAAACTAGACGGCACCTCCGCTAACATTTCTGGTATTTGGATTTTTATCTTTTAAATTTCTGTAATTACTTATTTATTTATTTCAAATAGGGTTTATACACTGGACATTGCTAAGTTGTATTGCTAAGTTCTAAAATCTTCAGGGACTTTATCCGATATCAAAAGTTGATAACCCCTCCTCAATACCATCCTTAAACCCCTGCAGTCCTATATCCCTCATCCCAATCCTGTTTTTTCATTACCCTCTTTTCTCTGCACCCTGTATGTTTCGCTCTCCATCTCCCTAACAATCTTTGTGTCTCTCTCCCCAGCTCCTATAAAACATTTATGTCTCCTTCCCTATCTCCCTAAATTTCCTTTTGCCTATCTCTGTGTCTCCTGTAAGCCCTGCTACTCATGACTCTAGTAGTGTGGCTGGCTAAATTGTTTTGAAGCTTGTGTTGCTTCAATTAGACTTCGTCTAGTACTAAATGATAAAAAACGCTAGTATCCTTCCTGTCAATTAGAGATATTCACCTTAAAAAAACAACAACACATATCCGGGTCTTTAGAATCTAAAGGCAATCCCCCCAAAACAACAGTCAACTGTACTCTGAATTGAAAAATATAGACCAAAACAGGAAATTTTAAAGCATTCTTCAATTCAGCTAGGGTTATAACTTGGCTATTTGAGCCTGAATTTTGACATTTGGTTTTCAATTCATTACAGTTTGGTGTTTAGTGAGTCTGAGCTGCTGTGACTATTGCATAGGTCAGGGCAGGACAGGAGGTAGGCACATTCACAGTGTCGGAAGAATCATGCAGCCAGGGGCACTCATACCTGTCAAGTCAAATAATAGAACAGTATGACACAAGGTATGTTAAAATCCCTCGCGGCTAACCAACAAAGGGTCATCTTTCACGTAATGGCTGTTGGATACCAGGAAGAGACCTAATTTTCTGGTGGGAGTGAGTGGAACATTACAAGAAAGGGAATCCTACTTTAAAAGGGGGCTTTGACTCCCAGTGAGCGCTATCTACATCCAATAATCAAAGTGGGATCTGAGATATGATGATTGTCTCCACACAGGGCCCTGCAAGAAACGTACACGTTATCCCTAGCAGAGCCCAGTGACCCACTTTCTCCTAATGCACAAGTCAAGATAGACAGGAAGTGGTAAGAGTTTGGGAGAAGTACACGTGAGGGGAACGGGGGACAACATGGGGAAAGGGGCACCTTGGGTGGTATAGAGAGAGGGACACACGTGGGGAAGATAAATGGAGAGTGACACAAGAGGGGAGAATATGTAGAGAGGACCACAGGTGGCAGAAGTTGTGGGGAATATAGAGAGAGGTACATAGTTAAAGGAAGGGGGGGCATGGTCGGATACTGAAGAGGTACACAAGTGGATAAGGAGGCATATGACAGAAATTAAAGTTGAATATTAAAGAATAAATTAAAATTAAATAACAGTGAGACATGGAGTCCAGTAGAGGGATTAGGGGAGAGGGGGTAGTTTGGGAATTTGTTTCTCAGAGGCAGGTGTGATTTAAAGAGGTACACCTGAAAAAGCATGTGTCAGTGGCAAAATTCACACGATTATTGGAGCTGCCAAGTCCCAGGAGTTCTTAACATATAATGGCAGTACCAGCCTGGCACACAAGCACATTGGGATATGTCAGCTTGTCAATCAGACAGCCAGGTTAGGACAAGCACATCTAACTCTAAATCCTCTATTAGACAGGCATAAATATCTAGATTTAGTCCTGCAAGGTACATACGTTTATTTACTTTCTGGTGACTTTCTTTGAAGCAAGAAAAAAAAATACAAAGCCCAAGAACATTCGGATCCAGAGTCTCACAGCACTCTATTTAAGTAACAAAAAAAGGACTTATAGTATCTGAAGTACTTGGAGTCTAGGATAACTGACCACTCTGTTTTTGAATTAGCACTGGAGCTTACAGGTGCCTTGGGAACACCTGCCTCTGTAGCACCATAAGCACAACAATAACTTATGAGTGTCCCTTTAAAATTTATGTCAAACATCATACTGATATCAATCCAAAATATTAAGTGGGTTTCTACAACAAAGACACCAGAAAATATTTCTTTCTTAAAGAAGGTGAACAAAATTCAGCAAAACCTCAAAATTTTAATCACATGCATCCCAATGTAAGCTGATAACATTTAGCAAACAAAGCACAGCTGTTACAACGGCCCAGGCTCTCTCTGATTCTCTGATTCCGAAATATACTGCTGTATAGAATCTACTTATCAGTAGTCTTATCAGAAGTCTGCACTTTCCCTAAATGACATGCAAATCAGCACCGACAGCACAGACAGTCTCTCAAATTCCTATGCAAATTTATATAGGCTTACTATATTAAATGATATCTTTTTGTTTGGATCTTACAGTGACACTAAGTATAGTGCTCTTCCACCGTTTCTGTGTTTGTCAGAATGGCCTTGGTACAGTTTTGGACATCTCACGTACAGTATAAATGTTATTATTAAACTTTTTTTTTTTTTTTTTTATGTTGTGGAAGATTTCCACGGGTTGTGGTGAGTATACAATTTCCAGTTCAAAAAGATATAAAGCAAACATATAAAGGTATAATACAAACATAAGAAGCAAGCATCGTTATACTTTAGTGGCATACAATAGTCAATTGCGTCTGAGCAGATGGGTCCCCTGTGGTTAGGCCATTAGGTTACTGTGTGGGTCCCCTTATGTGTCCACGTGAGGTCCCCTATTTCTTTTCTCCTCAGTCGTGGGTGTCTCTCCTGTTCTATAGTGTGGTACATGTGCCTCCTAACCCTTGCCCTTCTTCACTTTCTCCTCTCCTTCAGTCTCTTTTCGTCTCTTTTGTATTCGGGTCACCCAGATGTCTCTCAATGCCTCCCCCGCTGTTAATTGGTGGGGCATGTCCGTGGACTGTCCCCTTGCAGTTATATTAATGGGTTGAGAGGTCCCCCGGATCCTTTGTTGGATGTAGTGCCTGGTCGTGTGTCTGGTACCTGTTTGTCACCCACTGGTGTCCTGTCTATCTCCCCCGCTCCCCCTTCTGTGTTTCTCATGAAGGCCGTCTCCCCCCGTCCATTTTGTACCCCCGCTGTGGTCCCCCTCTATCTTAGGTAGTTAGTGCCCATGTCTCGGACCCGGGTGGGTACGGTGGCAGCTCAGGCGGGGGATGTAGAGCCCTACAGTCAGTTGCGGCCCGCCCGTGACACATATGGAGTGAGGCCATAAACATAAACAATCAAGACATTTTGGTATGACACGTTTGCAGCTCCTGTGGGGCTGAGAATTCCTGATTAGGTATAACTCCCTGACTGCACAAGTAGAGTGAGGAATATATCAGTTAGTATAGCTCTCTAGGGTTAGGAATTCACGATTTAGTACAACATGACATCGCTTTATGTAAAGTTAAGACACTTTTTGGTACCACATACTAGTTAGTCTTGTAGGGTTGATTAAAAACAGATTGGGACAACTCTCGGACAGCTCATATAAAGTGAATGGATTATTAAACATTATTAAAGTAAAACTAACGCTGGTGAGATTTTTGCAAATAAAAATAGCAAATTAAAAGCTACCTGTAGGTTGTGATATTTAATTCTTAAAATTCTCAGTAGTTTTAATTTTTTTAATTCTGATACCCAGCCTGTCTGGCCACAGGCATTGCGTATCAATTATATTAACCTTTGTAATGCCATGCACACGTACCAGACTTCTAAAAGAATTCCTGAATGCACAATGTTATACAGCATTTCTTTACAAATGACGGCAGGAGGCGGGTCACAGATGATTCGGGTACCATCAGTTTTTATTAAACTAGTTGAAAACAATTTTATGCAGAATTGGGGTATGGCACTGCAGCCTAATGGCATCATAACCATAACTATGCAACAATGTGCTGTCAATCAGCAGTGGCTAAGGCCAGTAAGGAATTGTCATGCATGAAAAAGGGAATTCATTCTCGGGATGAGAATATAATTTTGCCTCTTTATAAATCACTGGTTAGACCACATCTTGAATATGCTGTGCAATTGTGGGCACCCATAAAGAAGGATATTATGGTACTAGAAAAAGTGCAGAGGCAGGCTACAAAATTAATTAGGTTAACGAATGTAAACCTCTTTAGTTTAGAAAAACGTCGCCTCAGAGGGGATATGATAACATTATACAATATATCCGGCAGCAAATACGCAATATAAAATACCAATTTCTGATGAGTTTGCTGAAAAAGCTTTATATGTGAAGAGTGTGGCCCCAGAAATTGGCACTTCTATAAATTTAACCTTGTTACACCCTCCTGGCTGTAAATCAGACAAATGCTTCTGTTGCTTCCTGGTTGTTTAAATCCAAGATATAACCCCAATGAACAAATTGATGGGGGGAGCTGTGGATGGGTCCCTTTAAATGTGGCAAGTTATCAACTGAAAACCAAACTACAAAACATAGGCCAAAAATAAACAAATTAATAAGTTAACAAATATGCAGAAATTGATAAATGGGAGAGATTTTATAGATATCTGTGTCAGTCTGCATTTTATATTCAGTTTTTTACTCACCCAAATTCACTGTTTAGTAAAACAAACTATGGTATGTATGCTCTACACCAATCGGTTCAGTTGTTTGAATATTCCAATTAATATGATTCTAATTTACCTACTGGCAGGAAGGAATGAGATTTCGGTTCACCGTGCTTTGTGTACATTTGACTGTATTTGCATGACGCCACTTAGGATTCCAGACTAGGGAAACTCTGCAGTGTAAAGGCAGTCTCCTTATTTTATATTACAGACAAGCTATCATGATACACACATAGGTTTTATTCGCTTAATCAGCAACTGGGGAGAGTCGACGTAGGAACTGGAAGATTTTGGTAAAAGGCTCTGAGATGGAGATTTTTTTATGATCAGCTATTTTGTCTCATAGTTTGCAATTTTCTTAAGAACTCTGCACACAATGTTGTGTATATCCCCCATAAGAGATCATCGAGAGAAGAACCACTAATGAACTGTATGACCACAAGAACAAAACAGGTCAAGAACCAAAGATCCTTTGCCGGAAGATGTATTGGGAACATTCAAATGTATTGATAAGTTCAATATCCTCCTGAGATCCAGCCCATTAACTTGTGTCCTCTGTACTGGGCATTTCGTTCACATGCATCTCCTTTTATTCTTTTGAGCTACTCTATCAATCCCAGCTGCACTGTAAAGAGGACATCCTGGGCTTCCCAGTGATATGTCATGTGATAGGCTGGGATGCTGGGAACTTCCTCTACCTTTTCATCAAAAAGAAGCATTTTTTTTCCCTCGGTTCCCAGAAGGATATGGTTAAATAAGCTCCCTTTCCAAAATAATGGCACTTGTACAAGGTTATATAGCAAGGTTTTTGGATGATGAGTCACCTGGTTCTTTTTTTAAGATATATTCAGTTTCTTTATATTTAGTGATATATTAGTTGACCATAATTAAGCAAGGAGTAACTCTCAAACCAGTCCTTAACTAGTCCTTAATGACTATCAATAGTTGAGGTTATATTTGGCATTTCTGCCAGGGGAGAATTGGATAATGCTTGAATTCTGGTGGACCACACTGAATGTACTAAGAACCTACACTACAGTGAGAATTCAAAATTAATTCAAAGTGAATTTCAAATTTAAGGCTAGAGTAGTCAAACTATAAGCATGACGGATTCAGAGATTTTTTTTTAGTTGAGCTGTTTTGATCTTAAATTTGAAATTCAACTTGAATTCTCATTTAAGTAAATAACCCTAGCAGATTGCAAGGCTATTGACTAAAGTGTAAACTGTGTAAAACTAATAAGAGATATGCACATTTTAGATCAATGTTTTCAAAATTGGAAACTATTTCTTACAGTTTAACCATGTAGCATAAATTGTACAATTTCCTTGTCAATTCTCATTATTTCCCGATTTAGAGAATCAACTCATATTTACTATATGGAGAATAGTTCACAGATCCTTTAAGCTCATCAACATTTAGTTGGGAATATGCAAGTAAGTTCGTTAAGTGTAAGAGTAGCGGCAGATCCTAGTCACACCCCTGTACCATTATCGGGGGTCTCCGAAGTCACACTGACACCGGGAATTGTAGATTAACATCTTTTATTGATGACCAATCCTCTTTAATATTCATATCAATATCTAATTATGCGTTAAATACGCATTTATACATACACACATTTTGGCCTTGCAGAAGTTACACGGATTGATTATGTAATTTACACCATCTGAAACCATCTGAAAACTTTTGTCTCTGCTCTTTCATGGTTCTCGCACTTCTAAGTGTGTTATCTATTTTTCCTAGTGTTTTTCCAGTTTCGACCTTGGCTTTATTTTGATGACAATATTGACCTCTTGTATCTCGTATTTCTATACCTCCATAGTTCTGAGACTTGGTTTGCTCTAGACTTGATTTTTCTCTGTAGCATTAAGTCGTGCCACTCTAAGGTCTGGTTATCCACCTTTATATCTTTCTTTCTGTATAATTTTGTATTGAACTGGCCTATTCTTTGCTGGGGAATCTAGCAGTCCTGAAATTAGGGTATCACAGCAAACATGACAACATTCACTTACAGGGTCAACTGGTGGAACTCAGGAGTTCGTGTACAGATCCTGTGATGCGTCGTCAATATACCATATCACTGTACATAGCAGCAACCTATTCATTAACAGGGCATGTTACAGTACAGAGTGGTTGGTGATGGCTGGCGATGCATCACTTAAAATGTAACGTGGGCATATTTGAGGTGCCTCATTTCGCCGTTACAAGTAATAGACCTATAATAACAGTGCAATCTCAGACTTATTCTTTATCAGTATATAGGTGTGTACGTAAGTACTAAACAGCAGTATACAATGCAACATGCAAATATTCTGGATTATAGAATCTACTTGGCAGCAAAGCAAGCACGTTCACAGAGACAAGTGACTTGATCTTAATTCCTCCGTTAACAGTAAGGGAGTCATACAAACAGATTATGGACCTGGGTCACTAATCGGATTTAAGTGTCATGGGGTTTAATAAAACAAAAAAAAACAAAGCGTTCTAACATTCAACAGCTTTACAGCCAATAAAACACAATGTCTAACAGTGTAAACTTTCCACAGCACAATTAATGGTTTTCATATAAGGTATAAAAAATAAAAGCCTTGACTCAAAAAGTTTACAATCTGTTCAAATATAAACACATGCCAATGGCTGGCCATGATACATATTATGGCTTAATCCCAAAAATAAACTGCACTTTATATTCACTGGCAGAAATATTATATACCAATAGTACTGGCTGTGATAGAGCAGGATGCACTGTGACCAACACTGTAAAGTACTATATTATTACATGTGTAGTAGATTAGTGGAGTTGCATATCAGTAGAGGTGGTAGATGAATATACTTACCACCAAACTCCGGCCCTCCAGATGTTGCTGAACTACAACTCCCATGGTTCTCAGCCTATCTATTTAATTCATAGAATCATGGGAGTTGTAGTTCAGAAATATCTGGAGGGCTGGAGTTTGGGGAAGCCTGCTGTAAAGGAATGCAAAAATACTTTGTATTTAACAAGATCAAGGATCACTGAATTGATGACTACGAATCAGAAAACAAGGCAAGTCAGTGTGGATTAGAAACTATGTATATTTTGAAAGCTAAACTCCTGCCTACTGTTCATATTTATGAAAGGACCAGGCAAACTCGATATCTTATCTAAATGCATGTGCAGAGTTGGTCATTCTTCCAAATTAAACATTTACAGTACATCCCCAGTGTAGTGTACCCAATAAAGTTCTCCGACTGCCCAAAGCTTACACGTTAATCTGCACAGTGCTGCAAAACAGGAGCAAAAACTCAGATTTCTTTTATACATGAGGAATTAAAGAGGAAGGGACTAGCAAGTATAATATCAAGACAAATAAATATATTTACTGCTTCCTGCAATAAGAGGGATCAGCAGTTGTTAGCTTTGTAGAAAGTGTCCTAAAAGACATTTTGTAGTTGTGGTGACTCCATTTAAGAGAAAGTCCCTACCTTTGCAAGCTATGTCTCCTTACCTGTAGGTGCACCTGCTGTTATTAGAAGAACTTGTCCCGGATCCTGTGAGACTACAGAGTGGGAGGGATTTCATTCAATGGGTGGATAATGAAGTCCCTCCTTCTCTGCCTAGGAATTTAACAATGTCTTTTTAACCTTTGGCATGCCAGGGAAGTCCACGGATCAAAGTTTGGTATGCTTGTTACAGTAAATTATCAGGTATATTGCTGTGCAACACTGACATGTCATGAGGCAAGTAAGATAACATGAAAAAATGCTGAAAAAAAAACCTCCCAAAGTGCTATACAACACGTTATTATTATTATTTATAAAGCACCAACAAATTCTATAGCGCTGTACAAAAGCATATTGGGCAGTATATTTTTTTTAAAGTACATTTACAACAAATTGCATGGCAGAAGTGAATCAGTGGTAGTTGTGTCCCTATTCAATCTCACTGCAACTTTTTAAATTTACACTATACAGGTTATTCACGAAAGTGTGAATCCTCAGGAATGTAAAGTAAATTCAAAGTGAACTTTAAATTTTGGTCAAATTCGAAGAATTCCTGAAGCCAGCGATGTTTTTGTTTTGTTTTTTTTTTGGCTAAAATTGGATACTTTGAATTCCTAATTTTGCATACTTGATAACCATGTATATATTGTACTGTACACATAGTAGCAATGATTGGACTGTTGCTGAAGTGTTCTTTTTCTAATTCTCTGTAATTGTTTACAATGTGGTAATATGCAAATAACATGTTTTTCTGGAATGTGGTTATATATTAATATTTTACTTAGTTGGTTTTAGATCTTGCAGGGAGTTGTTTTGAACTAGATAGATTCTCAAATCTGTGAAATGCCCACACTCATCTATATTCACGTCTAACACTATATATAAAAATGGTATATACCAGTTTCTGAGTTCTACAATATCCATCTCGCGCCCTAGAATTATAGAACAGCCAGCTGCTCCGCCTGGCATCTTATTGCATTTCCGATTTTACATGGCACGCATCAAAATAGGCCATTTGGTGTAATGCCTTAGAAACAATGTGAGGTCATTTCAGTATACCTACCTGTGTCCCACAGTAAGTAGGCAAATATTTGGTCCCCTGGGCACCTCCGATCCAGCCTCCGCAATGATATCACCAAAACAGTAACGCATTACTGCAATAAATACTGCACTTTTCGATGGAATTTACTGGTGGAGAGCACCAGCTGATGTTCTCAGTCAATTCTTTTTTTTTCGAAGAGGCAGCCAGGCTGGATGCGACTGGAGGACCAAGGTAAATTGTTTTTCTCACTCCTGACACTATAACAACTACAGAAGGTTGTAGTGGTTATGGTTCCTAGACTAACACTTTAAGCACCAGTTGCTAGCGGTAAAGGAATAGGGGTTTGCAAGTTAAACTGATAGGTTTAAGTATGAATTATTATTATTATTATTATTATTGGCATTTTTAAAGCTCCAACAAATTCTGCAGAGCTGCAATGTAAACCGAGTGAAAAAGACGAGTACAAAGGGTAAAAGAGGGCCCTGTCTGGAACTGAAAGTTAAAATATCTGGAAAAGTCAGCTGCATTTTAAATTCTGGCTGTTTTCGGTAAAAGGTCAATTTCTCTTTCAGTTCATTTTCAATGGCTGATATTTCACACATTAGGGTTTTATCTACAAAAGAGCAAATTAAAAACCCGTATTAAAAAATTTAAGTAAAATAAGTCAAGCCTTAATCATAGATGAGATTGTGAATTTTGCAGACTCGGTTAAGTCCCAGATTTTGTAATTTACATTCAATTCACTACAATTCTTTGTTTAGTGAATACACCCCTTTAAGAATAACAGACTGGATTATTCAGTAAAGTCGGAATTCAGAGTGAATTTCACATCAAAGGCCAAAATAGCTGAATTGGAATTAGGTAAACTTTGCTTTCAGTTGAGCTACTTCGGCCTAAAATTTTAAATTCATTTAGAATTCACTTTGAATTCTCACTTTAGTACCGTAAATAACGCCGATTGTTATGCTTAGGGCCAAGTGTAATTATCTGGGATTTAAATCATTAACATACCCCAAAACATCACAGTTCATTGTGCCAATAGCAAATGGTTTTGTTGTAATTTGATCAATCTTTGCACCTGGCTTGTACAAATGCTGGGAGCATAGCAATGGCATGTCACGCCGGCCCCTGTATCTGTACAGGGCTGTAGGGACCACAGGGTACCAGAAAAACAAGAAATAAAAACCAGAAGACAGACACGCTCATTGCTCAGACAACATTAAGTGAAGTTGAGTGCCATAGGTGCAAAAGGTCTAATTCTGGAAACATTCCACTTGTGGAGTGGTGAAGTAGTCACTGGAAGGAGAGTCTCCCAATCATCAGCTTCTCTCAAACGGACTGTAATATCATTATGCAATGCAACTAGAGATTTTAGGAAGCCCAGCAATACATCTTGACACATCTTGGGACCACATGAGCTGGGTCAATAAATGGAGAAATCTTCTCCAAGAAGCTGAAGTCCAGGTAAAGTTAATCGAATTCTCTTCAAAATTATATAATGTCTTCTCCTCACTGTTCAGAGTACTGTTAACTTATCCAGGCCGTTTTAAAACTTGAGATTTAAGTCCCTAGAAGTGGTGGCAAGTGCTTTGAGGCTCTGAAACATGCTATGAGGACTGCGGCAAGTAATCTACGGAGAAGATTTTGTAATCCTGCTTGGGAGTCTCTTGTAACAGACCATGGATACATATTTTTCTTGGCTCTACGCATGTTTTGGGGGCGTAGGCATGACATGGGACAATCAAATGTTAAGTAAAGTCTATTTAACCCCTTAAGGACCAAACTTCTGGAATAAAAGGGAATCATGACATGTCACACATGTCGTGTGTCCTTAAGGGGTTAAACTTCCCTAGCCTATCCACTTTGCTGTATAGTGGTTTCTGTTTCAGTCCCCCTTAGTGCGTTCCTTGATCTATTGTGTTTATTCTGGTATTGACCTTGGCTTTGTTCCTGACTCTGAGTTTATCGTTTAACCCTTTCCTGTCTTGTTTGCCCGCATGACTGATTACTGTGTACTTGACTCTGGCTGGTTCTCGTTTTTGCTGTCGCTCCATTTCCCTGACCTCGGCTCGTCTCTAATTACGCTTTATCTCTGTCTGACGTTTAGTCCGGCCATTCTAAGGCCCGGTAATACGTTAAATCCTTGTCTTGTCCCTTGCTGTCTTAACCTCTGCATGTTTTGGGTATTACACCGTGACAAGATGACACTCATGAATAATGTGTTATAGAGATGTAGGAGAGAGTACGTCTAACCACCTCGACCATTGGCTCCCCCGTTTCCTTACATTTTATATTCCTTGGTCAATTCCATTTAGCGCATATACCTGCAAGTCACTCTAAGTCAAACAGCAAAAATCACATTTTGCTAAACAGAAAGAAGTAGTGAACTGGAAATAAAATTGCAAATTTTAGTTAACAGTAGATTATTTTCTAATGCAGTGATAGTCACCGCTTGGTTATTCTGGATTACATTTTGAAATTCGATTTTCACTTTACTACAACTTCATGTTTAGTGAATAAGCCCCATTTAGATTTCCTGCCGCACCTCTCACCTGCACCATGTCTCCCAAAGCAGAAGTATTTATAGTAATAAGAAGAGCCTAGTGAATTTACAGTCAACATGCGTTTAAGGATATGTGGGATATTTTTGGACGGGGGAGGAACCAGTATTTTCATGCAACACGTGTAGAAGTACAGTAATAATTAAGTGTCAGTAACTTTTGGCATGGGCACACCTGATGATATTGCTGAAATGTGCTCTTTATAGCCCTGTATACAAAAATAATATGCATTAATGTAATAAAATCATGGCACATGGCTTGATTAAGAGCCTAAGGGGCCTATTTGCACAAAACACTTGAAAAGTCATACCTCCCAAATGTCTTGTATCTGGTGGAGGTGGTGCCAGAGGGAAACTCCAAGGACGCATTTATAAGAACACACATACCCTATGCTAATCTCTCACTTTCTTCTCTCAACCAAGTCTATCTTACAAGCCCCACAGCTCTTAACCCCTCTCTTACTAATAAACTCTGTATCCTGTCTGCTCAGGACTCGTTTGTCAACTTTTCTCCTTCCCTTCTTACTATGCAGTCTGAGAAAGGGAAAGAGGTGAATGTGGTGAGTGTAGCAGAAAGGGGACATGCCACACTGCTAAAGAAACAGAAGCAGCGAGCAATTGCACATGACTGCTGACCTGGACCAAACCCCAACCACCCATTGCCCAATAAATACACAACAACCTTTTGTATGGGTAAGGGCAACGGCCACAGCTTTATTAATAGATTATTGCCAGTGTCCACAACCTGTCAGCTCTTGGGGGATTACCAACAGACAGATCTATCAAAATGAACCACGAGTCAGGAGCAGCCTGCCCCCGCCATCAGCTCTCAGCAGGCTGCGACTCCCCAAGCCGCTTGGGAACTTCCTTCCAATTCTCTTCGCTGGCCAGGACTACCGCGAGCTGTGACAAAACAAAGAAAAACAACAACACACAACCAACCGAAATCCAAACATAAAACATCATTTTGGGTGGGCGGGTGGGAAGCTAGCACCACTACACTTCTGCCCAGTAACTGGTGAGCACCCTCCCCTTTCTCCCCTTCTTAATGCCAGGGTGCCACTATGTATCCCCTTAGGGACCATCCCCTTATCCCTGCCAGCAGCCATGTCCTCCCTTCCTTGTGTTTCCAGTAAGGTACTTGACTGCTGACCTGGAATAAACCCCAACCGCCCGTTGCCCAATAAATACACAACAACCTTTTGTATGGGTAAGGGCAACGGCCACAGCTTTATTAATAGATTATTGCCAGCGTCCACAACCTGTCAGCTGTTTAAATGAACCACGAGTCCGGAGCAGCCTGCCCCCGCCATGAGCTCTCAGCAGGCTTTAACCTATAAGCGAGAGGTGGACCCTGTCTCTGCGCTTAAGGTTGGAGTTGTCTCCCTCCAATTCCGTGTGCCTCAAGACAAACCCCCCGAGGTGGTGAACAAA